CTACATTTCAAAAAATCAACAACGATAAAATATTCTTGTTTGCAAAAGTTTTTTAATTTTTTTAAGCTTCAAATAATCACATGGAGATATAGGTGAGAGAAAAGCAGAACCCGGTCCACACAGGACCTAGTAGATTCCGCACAGAGATGTGCTAAGTTATATGCTAATTTTTTTGGTATGTCACCCTTGTGTTCACTAAAAATCTTGGAAATCTCATACAACTAAATGCATTCTAATTTGTAGTTTTTTCCGTCTTCAATGGGTTATGACATCTTTGGTGACCTAAGAAATATATCTGTATGTTCGGTAGCAGACAAATGACGATGAATTTACTACGAATAAAGTTTTGAAATTTTTCTAGAAGATGCATAAAAAAACACGTATCTGAGAGCTTCATGTACATTCATGCTCAAGTTACCACACATTACATCTGAAATAAGTCAAATGAAAGCAATATGCCTTGCAATGTGGAGTCCTCCTGCACGATGGAATAAATGCCCATGCATGGAGGAAGATGTGAAGGCAAGGAGAACCCTCATGTTTCAGCACTTACTTCAACCTCAAAGGGAAAGAAAAGGAAAGGAAAAGAACACTAGTTTAAATTACACTTCAGGATACTTTAACGAATGTTATAGAGAAACGACGTGGCAATTACTTATGTTTGAAAAGGTCCGATTTGCACTGCAATTTCGATATCACTCTAAAGCATGTCAATGTTGACGCATGCAGGTCAGATCTTCCAAGTTGGAAAATCTTATTCTTACATCCAGCATGGTTTTCCAGTCCTGTACGTAAGAATCCTTTTGCTTTTCTTTTAGTGAAACTTGGTTACAAATGTTTCATAGGAACGTAGATCAGAAATGAAAATAGATGAAGCTCGGAGACTTAAAGTGTAAAAAAACACAATACAAATTAGAAACTATAAATAAGTAAAAAAAATTTCAAAGATCAATGCTTGACTTATGCCAAGATGTACTAATATAACAAAAACATTTCAAAGATCAATGCTTGACTTATGCCAAATGTACTGATATAACAACCTAAATCAAAAGATTTTAACTAAAATAATAATAAAAATTATCTACATCATAGAGAGATAATCTAAAGCTCACATCCCTTCGGATGCTGTTGGGTGCAACATGCTAACAAGTACATCTGGACTTCGTCAATGCATAGATGAGCTCACAGTCGGCTCGGCATTTAAGGGTGTGTTGAGTAAAGTCAAAAGGGCTGTATTCCGAACTACCAAATCCAAACTGCAACCACGAGCAGTGAGCATTATCTTCACGCTTAATTGAACCATTTACAAGAAGCAACTTTAGACCTCTTCAATGAAAGACTAGACTCAGTCTAGCCTACTCGTGTATTGTGATAATGATATATCTCCAACGCATGACTCGGCAATCTCGAAGGAGATTGAACCAGGACAGAATATTTTTATTGTTCATTTATCCTCTTCTTCCGATGAGGGATGTGCTTTTCGGCCACATGGTTCATTCAAAATCCAAGTCTATGGTCTTTTGGCAATCTGGCTTTAGATGCTAGAAATTTATCAACGTGGAAGGCCATTACAACGACTACCAAATCCTTTGGATAGGACCGGTTGGTTGGGTTACAGTGAGTGGTTGTAAGCTCAAAACGGTGGCCTTACATATCTGATCATCTTGGATTAGACTCATAGAGCAACTTGTGGAAAGTTCATCATGAGAAAATATGATGATGTAAATGAAGAAGCTCTCATGTCAGCAAAAACATATGAGTCTGCAGTTGTTGCACTGCTTACCACCTCCTGCTTTACGCAGTTTCACACCACCATGCAATCAGTTATCAGACTAATTTCATCGTTAATTATTGATAGTCTGGATTTGAGAGAAGTTTCCAGTCATTTAGAGATCGAAATCAACCTGGGCTGTGTCGTCATGTTTTTTTTAAGGAGAGAAGATTGCGTTAAAGTGATTACATTAAATCCAAATATTTTCTCATCTATAGTCCAAGCACTCCCATTCCAATTTTATTGATATAAGGGACAAAGTGATCATGTTTCATAGCATCTGACAGTCACAATGAATTTGAGCCCAACAAATATTCATTTAATACTTTAGATATGGTATTTCAAGGATTTGGAATAAATCTCGGACTTCTATGGTAAACTGCAGACCAATTTTCCACGCCTAGTATGCGAGTAGGCGAGAAGGACTGATTTATCAGCCGGTCAGATTACTCAATTTCACCTATATGAAGCAAGGACAATACAGGGGACGAAGAGCTTCCATTAAAAGAGACTCAACGTACACGATAAGTAAAAATCATACGATATATTTTGAAGAATTCTAGAATGTGATTCTCGTCCAGAAACATGAGTTAATATCTGTTGTAACGACGGGCAATTATTCTACTAACCGTGACATCATTTCTCAAATATAAGGACAATGAAAAGAGCAACTTTGATCCAAAGCTAAGCCCATACCGTCAACTTAACGGCAAGAGCAATCCACTAGTTGTACTTATAATGAGAAAAAATATTCCATGGTTCTTGTCAACTTTTGATCACAAAGTGTCCTGTCCTGCACCAAGTCATGAGATCGACCTTCCTCTGGTCAATTCTCCTTCAAGCCTGACCTTGTTCGAGGGAGTTTCTGGCTCAAAGAGGGCGTGGGGATTGCTGTTCTGCTGCTACTCCATACACCTCATATATTTGGATGTGCGCATTGACGTGGTAATAGACACGCCCACGTCTGAGAAATCCAAAATCATGTCATGTGCACTACGTGAAGTCGGCTGACTTTTCGACATTTTCATATCTCTCTCACACACAAGTTGCAATACATGTCAATTTTTGATCCAGATGACGATTTTAGACAAAATGATATCCCGAAACTTGTTGCCTCTCGGCAATTCTGTTGTAGTTTCTACAATATCCACTTGGGTGATCACAAAGATTTGCAATGATTTCTTTACTGTACACGTAGTCCTCACAATTGCATGGAGGTAGGGTATACGGAGGGTATCTACTATTCTTTGGCAAATACAGATGTTTGGACTTTTGAGAATATCGACACCAATAAGTTTTTAATTTATTGGATATATTTTCATCTATTTCACATGGTTTTTGGGCTTTTTAATGTTTGTTTGGAAAAGAGCGTTAATGGCTTGTTGGTTTCAAAAGTGTCTCTTTTAATGTGCTTTTAGGTTGGATTGGATGTCAACCACATGTCACCATTGGATTTGTAGACATACATCACCTGGATTGTTAAAAGTCATAACAGGAGAAAAGTAGAATATACTTAAATGCATTACATCACACCATGCCCCTAGTTCTCACTCACTGGACAGTAGAGGAGGAAATGCCTTCCACAAAATCAAAATCAAAAGTAAAAATATAAGAATCACATGCACAGAAACATGACTCCCACCACCAAATCGAGGACCATCTGGTGGTCTAAGAATCACATTGAACACAAGAGCAATCACCGCATACAAAAAGAGATAAAATTAAACAGCTAGAAGACAGAGTCAGCAGAACCGGCACCCAAAATGACAGTTTGTCAACCGGTGTATGTGCCCTCCACCCCAGTGACCATTCCCCATGTGATCTGTTGGAGCTTGAAGACCAGCATGTTGGTAAATGGCACCACAAGAACGATGTCATGGTGGAGTCCAGAGTCCAGAGCTCGAAGATCAGATCAGCTTGACCTTGGAGCGGGTGGGAGAGTGGACCAGCAGTTGAGATGTTTACATCATTATTTTGGACACAGCTACGAGGCATGATGCAATTCTGACCTTTTCAATCTGGACTGCAGGATGACTCTTACCACGTTGGGGTGAGCGCATTATTTGTCCGACACAGTCCTCGATCCAGTTAAAAGCTGGCTGACTCGCTTTTCCTCTTATTTTGAGGTGGTTTGGAATATCAGATGTGCGAGAGCTTGTGTCGTTGGAAGTTGGAATGTGGATAGAGATCGATCCACATAGAGATCGTTTGTTTCTGACTAGTGGAACATTGTTGAATTGACACTGGCCACAACGTACCGAGTACGCATTGATGATTGGCTGCCTACATCATCTCGAGGTTTGTAGGACACCCTTTTGCTCGAAACGTACAGCGGTTGGTTAGTGGGGGCAGGTATTTCCGTTCGTATAACCACCACGGTGGTGGTGGTGGTGTGCTATACGCTTCACTTCACTCCCTCAAACATGCGTCATCCCAAAGAGAAGAGAAGCAGAGGACGTGCTACTGGAATTGGTCATATTTATCAGTTGCGACTCGGTTTAATGTGAATCCAAGTAGCCACTGCTCTTGTACTCTTATGCTCATGCTTTCACCAAAGCATGAAGACCAAAATCAAAGAAATTATAGCCTTCAAGTAAAGCTACTTGGAGAAACATGGTGGTATGCCCATTCGTGCGGTCTCTTGCACACTCCAATTTTTCAATCTTCTCAAATTTGTACAGTGGTGAATTCCTTTGGAGATTTATTTGTACGTGGAGTAATGAATGCATAGTAATATGATGTGAGCATACTCAGGCTACTATTGCCATCTTAAATAGGTATCTTCCGAATCTTACATCTTAAGAGCAAAATCATTCAGAATATAATTCTATCACTTAATAAAATCAGATTTTTTTAATTTTTTTTTGGGATGAGATCCCCTTCCACAATCATCAAAAGTTCCATATGTTACCCACATCTCTGAGCTACTAGACTCACCACGGTAGCGAGTAAGAAGACTCATGGCCGCACCACAGTCGACGGAACTCGGTTACCGAAAGTGCGATTAAGAGAAGACTGCAGAAACGCGGGGACGTGGTTAATGTAAGTGACTCCACAGTCGCCTGCTCCAGGTCCTACCGATACGACAAACGGAGCAGGAGGAAGCACGAGAGAGCGAAGTCAAAGTCCGGTCGGACGTTGGGGCCCTGACCGTTACGGGCCGTCTTTTCAACTTCGCAGGTTCAAACTGTATAGCGGCAGTAGATGAGAGCAGCCGTCCAGTCGAGACTCTGTCGCTGGAGAAATGTCTGGAGCATGAAATGGTGGAAAGCCTTCTCGAGCAGCACTTGCAATTTTCTGATCCCTCTTATTCTCCAACATTTTCCAAATGGGTCGAGCGTGACACTCCCAAACGCGATTCCGTCACTGCGATACATCGATTGTATGAGGACAATTTGAACACAGTGCCCCAGAACGACGGGTTGGACTGAAAGATGTTGTGGTTTAAGCGAGTATCGAAATGTGTGATTCTGATTAGGTTTTTGGGTCACTTGACAAGCAGTTCAGTTGCAGGTCAGTCCGGTTGCCACAAGGTTGATAGAGCGTTTGTATCTCTGCTTGATGTACCTCAACATCTTCGTTCCAATGTTTAAGTTCACTTTTTTCCTTGCCAGCATGAAGAAAAGACAGGAAGGAGTGAGAGTGAAGCGAAAGAGAAGTAGCAGAGAAGTTTGGGAATAACGCATCAAGTATGAGATGGTCCAGCCCCACTAGCATCATAACAACTTGAAGACTTGGATTACTACTATACTCGAGGTGAATTCTGGAAACATGTGAGCGTGTGAGGTATGTACCGATTATACAAGACTAATTTCGGTAACTTGGTTCTTACAAAAGAAATTTGAGTTTGCACTTTTATTCCATTTATATCTCTCTCCTTATGCTATATCAAACAATCAAGATCTCATTGCACGAATAGTTATAGTTGTACGCCAAATGAACAACCTTGGATACCCCTGATTCACACGAATACTTATAGTTGTATGCCATATGAACAACCTTGGATACCACTGATATGAACAACCTTGGATACCACTGATTCACACGTCAATGTTGGAGATAGATAGGTATGGATGAATCCTACACGTAAGCTGATAGTCAGAAGAATAAAGATGGTGGGAATCAAAAAGAATTAATGCATCAGAAACTAGGTTTATCGAACAAGTTTTTTGGGGAGAAATATAGGGTAGTTAGAGTATTATAAGAAACATATGAACCAAGGGAAGAGAATAAATAGCCAAAGCTATGGTCCAAAAATACCGGAGGTATTGTAGTTGCTCCGGAAATGAACGTCTCATCCTTGTACATGTCAAGGATGAGGAAGTCTATGATCACAACTAAAAGAAGTAGGCGAGGAGTGGAGAATGTCCAACTACATTAAACCTTCAAGTATTGTCAATTACATTCATAACAATTTACACTTCCACAAGAAACTGGTCAGGAAAATATAAATGTCCCAATGCGAATCTGCTGCTGTCAACAAACGTATATGGCAAAGTATGTATTGAGCAAGCATGAAGAAAAGATGTCGCAGGTCCACTTCTTCACTAGAACTCAATGGCGGAATATAAAAATAAAAAAGAGAAATAAGTAGAGAAAAAGAAGAAGAAACATGCGGCTAAAATCTACGAATGCTGACCGGATTACCGGATGATGTGTCCCAGGCACCCGGTGGGTGGGACAACGTCGAAACAAAAGTATGCCTCGTCGAGGAATATTCCCCAAGAAATATTCCTTACGGGTCGACGGTCGTGCCGAAGACACAGTGACGCGAGAGGAGGAGGAGATGGGGCACATGCGCTCGAGACGAGATGAGGCAGATGTCAAAGCGTAGGGGAGCAGAGGGGGGCTGCCATAATTCGGCCATCCATGCTGTACGACATGACAATGTCGAGAGTCAGTTGGGTGTTGGGAATCTGGAGCAAGAGTCTCAGGAGGCAAGGACGAGTGCACAAAGTTGACAAAGTTGGTTGGGGCGGAACAGCTTTTGCATCGCATGAAGAGTTGTATCGTCGACGTAATTTCGGTCACAAGACTGCGTGGGATGAATTTCGAATAATAGCTCGGAGTGACAAGCCCCTTTGCATAGTTTCCACTTTCACCTTTCGGTCTCGTCCTTTCACCAGGACTGTTCTGCGCGTGCTGTGGTGCATGTACCATCGGGGGTTTGGGTGATAAGCATAAAGGTATGTTTGGCAAGAGAAATCAACCCATGCTTGGTCAAGATTCCGAGGACTGGCTCATCAATGTTGACGTAGACCATCAGTTAACAAACCTTGGGTTGCTTATTGATTGCAAGTTTTGGAATTTTATTGTTCTCTCGAGGAGAGTGATGGTAACAATGTCGAAGGACGTACGTCTAGACCTGAAGTTTTGATGTGTTTTGTGCTATTGACCAATTTGTAAGCTTGAGGTACTACGGTACATGGTGCATTTGCAAGAGCTTGTTGACTTGCCAAAGTCGATACGATGATTCATTGGGATGAAAAAGTCGGGACGACGGCCACGTTATTTTCAGCAAACGAATCGTGAAAGTGAATGGAAAGTGAATGTCTTGAATGGACCATGTCCTCAAATGCATTGCACCTTAAACATCTTGCTCGCACAAGGTAATTCCCACTTGTGGTACCCACTTGACACAAGAAAGAATTTTTTGGGAGCAGGGTTCCACCGGCTTTGCTGTACACCTTGCATCAGATACCTTGTTGCATATTTATCTTGCACCACACACGACGGGCACATAAAATGTCCGTAAGAAGATTGGTATTTCCAAGAAATTAATTCTGCATTTAATTCATTTCAGATCATAAAGTGTTTTCTTGTACTACAGTTAGAGCTAAGGCCTGGTCTTCCAGCGAAATAAATAATTTATGACTGATTCTCGGTATATGACACGAGATCCTTGCTTAAGAATGTAGCTGTTGATTTTGGCCTGATCTGATCAGAAAATGGATGAACAGATAACATTAAAGAGCTTAAACTAGGATATGAGGTTATTGCAGACGTAGACTGTTCTGTATGTTGCAGAGATGTTGTTGGGATCTAAGCTTGTGGAGATGCCAAAGGATAGAGGAGAAGTACATCTAATGCAATCCGATGAGACCGGACTTGGTGTACGTTGCTTCTTGCGACATGGGAAACGGAATTATGATCCTTTGATGGCTGTACATCGCCTTGTTCTGATGTTTTGAGCATATCTATCTGAGGAGAAGAAAGGACACGGGATGTCTGAGCCCGTGATCCATTTCCGTCTACGAATAGAAAACAATTTAGAAGGGAGTGAATGCATCGTAACCTCGTTGCACTCTCCCACACTTCACGTGGTAGAAGTGATGGACTATCACTTGCTTTGGGCCTGCCTAGCTCCACCAAATATAGTGTAGATTGACATGCTCGTGGGTTTCCATGTGCCCCCTTTGAACCCATTAACGGACCTCATGAGAAGACCACGAGGAGACAATTGGCCTTCCGGAAGGAGCAAGATCAGAATCATCGCTGCTTCCATCGGAGTTTTGACTAGAGTCTAGCGACCACAGGATCTCATGCCCTGATACGCTAAATCATTCACAGCTGATACCCTCTCGTGGAGATCTATGCGCCCTTCCGACCTTCAAGTCTCGATGAGACCACCATTCCCCGGGTCAAGGTTAATAATTCACTCAATCTTTCACTGTAGGATGAAGTCTATTCCAAACATAGCCAAACTCACGCAGTCTCACCTTTCACATCGCCACTTTCTCCATGTTTTAATCTGCTGCGACTCGTTTTTCTTCTTCCTGCGGGTCAAATGCATTTCTTACTTGCACATGGTGCAAACCGAGAGAGCCCTAGTCCGACTCTCCGAAGTTGCGGCGCAACGAGCACCTTGACTCGCCCAGCCATCTTCGGCAATGTGATTCCCTCCCGGCCCGTGAAGCGATCGATCGTCAAACAAATGGAGAATTTCGGCTCCGAGCGAGGATGCCGTAGAGACCACATCCCTCGGACGAGACACGAGAAAATCGTCGTGACCGAGAAAGAAAACGATTTAAAAACGCGAGAAGGAGAAGGGGCCCGCAACAGGAAACGCGGCAAACAGGACTCCTACGTCGGCCTTTCGGGCCACCACGTGGCGCTACGACTGGCCGCCATGTCCTGCGTGGTAGGAAGCCGAGCTTCTAGATTTGGCGCTGCTTTTCGCCGCTGACAACCGCACCACGCAAAGGTGGCGGTCGACTTGGAGGCATCGCCAATTTAGCCGGGCCACCTACACGTCGGAGGATCTTTCTGCTCTTCTCGACCGTCCGATCCCCGATCGGCGATTCAGGGAAGAGAATCTTCGAATCTACGATTTACGAAATGATCTAAAGCCCCCGCCAACGCTTTGATGGCAGCAGGGAACACCGGCGACGGCGGTCCCCGCGAGGGACAGCGCTGGAGGGGACAGGACGCATGCGGCGAGGCAGCGAGGGCGGGCGAGACACATGAAAGGGACAGTACCGTGATGGTGGTGCGAAAGGCAGTCACGCCGCCTGCTGAGTGGCAGTAGGGCCACAGTGCCGCGAGCCGCGACCGAACCGGTTGGAGGCCGGCCGGCCAACCGCGCAAGACCGATCGGCCGGTCACCACAGGGTCTGCGGCGGTGCAGAAGGTCGGGACGGGAGCGCTAAGTTGGAGGCGCGCCAGACCTGGAGGAGGTGAGCGAAGCGGAGCGTTGGCAGGGAGGGGCGGCCGCAGAGGCGGAGCGTGCGAGAGCGTCCGGGGGCAGCGGGCAGCGGGCAGCGAGCCGCGGGCCGGGAGAGAGTGAAGTGGTGAGAGTGGGACGAGGCTGGCAGCAGAGCGCAAGCGCGAGCGAGCGAGCGAGAGGTGGAGGAGGACGAGGAGCAGCGGCAGCAGCAGGAGCTCGAGAATTGAAGCGCAGAGCGAGGGAGGGAGGGAGGCAAGAAGGCAAGAACGGAGCAAGAGTGGAGGAGGCAGAGGAGGAGGAGGAGGAGAGTGGAAGAGGGAGGAGGAGGAGGGGCGGTCGCCATTCGGAGCAAGGGAAGGGAGGAATCAGCTTTCCACTTGGCGGCATGAAATAAGGGAGGGGAGGGGAGAATGATCAGACATCGGGGAGGAGTAGGGAGGGGCCGGAGAAGCGTCTGATCGATCGGCGGCCTGGAGCGATTCGATTCGGGTGGGCCTGGTGGCCGTAGCTGGAAGGGGAATTTCCTCCCACGAACTGCGAATCGTGCGGCGCTTTGAGGGCCCGTCTGGCTTGTTGTTTGCCTGTTGTGCTTGCGTCGGCTCTGGCGCAAACTTGTCGAGAGGGAACTGCGGGCAGATATTTGCGCTTTCTCTCGCATGCTGGCTTCGGCCTCCAGAGCTTTGATCTTTTCATATGCCATTTATTCGAGTCCCCGCTGATGAATATTAAGGTGCAGGATTCACGCGAATTTGTGTTGTTTGCTGTCTCATCTCACACACTTTGCTTGCCCGTCTGGGGACGAGACGACGAGGGAGAGGAAAGGAAAGGAAAGGGAAGGAAACGAACGAAAGGGCCGGGAAGGGTAGGGAAACGAAGTAGATGGTGTTTGCGTGTCCGTTTGTAGAGGAGTAATTGCTTTTGGAGTCTCAAGGTGGGGGAGGTTTTGGATCGTCTTTAACTCGAGAAAGGAAATCCCGTCCGTTGGATTTTTATCGACGGCGTGGTAGTCGAAAGGGTACATGAATGATTGTAAAGCTGCAGAGATTTTCTTCAGAGCGTATGGTTAGCAAGTCTTAGTGAGGTTGTACTAGAGGGTGAGGGTAGGAAACATCACATCTACGGATCTCCGAGCAGGAGCTTGCTTGATCTGTGCGTCGAATCCTCTTTTTGATTCGTGGGTTGCTCTGACCAGAGAGTGTTGGAAGCGTAAAGGAGGAGCGGAATTTTGGTTCAGCAGGAGGAGGGGAATTTTATGACAAGGTATGATGAGGAGCTTTTGTACACATGAGCTTCCTCTTGGTGATCTTAGACTTTGAAAGCCAGCAATCATAGCAGAGGCTCGACTTCGCTGCAAGAGATATCTCTGTCCCTTCATCTCGACGGAAGCATTAGCTTTGAGGTTAATCTGAAGATTGTCTGACACAGTTCTCCCCGGTTTCTGGATCCGAGTCGTGAGCTGTATACGACGATCCTTGGAACGTTTACAATACAGAGGATTGCACGAAGTTGGCGTGTCGAGAAATCACCACAAACCCTCTCATATACTGGTGGGGTTGTGGAGTCGATGGGCTCTCTGTAGTCCCTGATCTAAATTAAATCTGTCCCGAAGGATCGATCCGATTTTATACACAACAACAAGTGGGAGACCTCGGGGCTCGCACCAGGGGAGTTGAGAAGTCGATGTGCGCATCCCCAAAGCAGGATTCATGCTGTCCATTGGGTCACTGAGAGGTGGAGCGGGAGCCAACAGTGGTATAGCAGAAATCCCCACGTCAAATCCCGATGCGCCGGTCTTCCAGGAATGCGGTTATTTCGATGTGGATCAAGTTGGGAAGATTGCCCAGCTCCTCCTGGTGTCCTTGGGAACTGCCTGTGTTGAGAAGACGGCTGGCGATCCTTTCAATCATCCCGGCGCTGTCGTAGCAGATGTGAAGAAAGAGATGCTGGAGTATTTGAATGTTCAAAGCGAAGCTTTTGCCACGGGGACTAGCGCCATTGTACTCCAGGTTTGACTCTTTCCGCTCACTCCTCGCCTATGCCACGTTCGTGGTTCTAGTATGTCCTAATTGATACTTTCGCTTGCTCATTTGAGGATTCTGGGTGGATGGTCATCACAACCCATACCTCCTTTCCTCGTGCACTCGGGAAGGGTCGTATATCTGGTGGATCTGTAGATATGACATATGGTAGATATGGTCCGTACTGTCTCTCGACAGGTGTCATAATAGACCATAATCAATTTTTCTCCGGATGTTGGTTGGGCTTTAGCTTCTTGAGCTAACAATGACATAAGTGGAACTCGATTTGCCATATGTCTGCATGATTTAAAACAGCTTAACTACCTTATGTTCCCACTGGCTCTGAAATTTGTCGTGAAAATTGCGCTCGCCTTCACACTTGCGGTCTCTGGACAGATTTCAGGTGAAATTCCAAGTCCACTGCAAGTTGTAGAGGATATTCTGGAGGCGTTTGTTCGTTCGAAAAAGAATCTCTTCAGCCGAGTTTCGAGCAAACTTCTCTACAGCGATAAGAAGGATGACAAGATCGAGGACTTCGTCCAGGAGCTCGACCGCACTGGCGCGTGGATGATCGGTCGGCGAGAGGTCTTGGCTAGAGCCTTACTCAAGAGGGTCGATAGATGTAAAATGTTTCACTGTGAGATGAAGTTCGACACATCAGAACAATTAGCTGAGCATAAGGGGAAGTGCGCCCTGCGGCCTGTGACTTGTGAGAATGAGGGATGTGGAGCTGTGTTTTCAGCCTTCAATGCCAAACCGCATGATGGTAACTGTCCTTTTAAACAGCTACCGTGTGAACAAGGGTGCAAAGTCATGGTGAAGCGCGGGGATATGGATAAGCATTGTGTTACACTTTGCCCCATGAAGCTAGTCAATTGCCCTTTTGCTCAGGCTGGCTGTACAAACTCTCTTCCACAAGGGGTGGCAGAGCAACATTGTGTAGACAATTTGGGCCACCATCTTCTGCTTGTTTTCCAGACCATGCAAAAGCAAGGAGTCTCTATTGGAAATCAGGGGCAACGGATTAATCTTCTTGAAAAGGTGAGTTCTCGAAGCTGCGCTCATTGGTTCTGTGATGGGCCGTATTCAAATCAACGGAAATGCGCTGATTGCATTTATTTTTTCTTTCGTCTGTTTGTATTCATTATCCTGGAGTCATGTTTTTTTGATCTGGTTCTAGTAGCAACACACTGCGTGATTTCCCATGCGCAAGTTTAAGTAAACTACCAACTTTTAATGAATTATGTTATGGAAATGGACTTCGAAACAAAAAATGAACATACGGGCTTCTAAAGGTTCTGAACTTTCACACACTTGCAGTAGGATCAGAATGTCTTGGAAACTTGGAAAGGGGTTCCAGTATCGACTCTCCGTGGCTTTCTGATAGATGCAGTCCTAGGCTTAAAAATATTCATTTTGTTGCAACTCGAACTGGAAAATTGTGGTTACAGTTTACCGTAGTGTATGTCATACCAATTTTGTACAATTTAGCTTCTGATCTTTGCTTATCTTTCTTGCAATGAGTGAGCTGAGTCTCTCGGTTTGGATTAGATTATTCCACCCTGCCTCCTTCTCGCTTCCTGTATTCCATAAAATTTGTTATTTCGCTCCGGCTAAAAAAAAGTTTGTCCCACAGAAGCACGTAGTACCTGTGTACTTTTTCATTATGTTACCGATTGCGGGACTGTAGCCTAAGGTAATCTACGTGCCTCCATAACACCCCTATAGCCTGTGAGCGGGGAAGCCACCGTGGTTGTGGTTTTGTATTTCTCCGCACAATTGTGTCGACTGTTATACATTCTGAGACCGACCCTGGGGTTTCGTTATGTGCAGGCCATGCAAATTAGTCAACGCACAGAAGCAGTGGATATAGGTACAGTGCTGCTTTCATCACGTGAGCAAGAGATCAGGTTGAAAACCATGGAACAAGAAGTTTTGAAGCTTCGTCAAGATCAGAAAGCGACCGATGTATCAGCAGAGGTACTTCAAATTCGGCGAGAATTGCGAAGTCTGCAGAAGAGCATCGAAACCGTCACTGCTCAAAGTGCACCACAACAACAATAGATTAACCTCATAAGCTCACGTTTCATGTATTATCATACTACTGTGATTGGTTTCAAATCTCTCACAAGCACGGCTTCCGCTACATCTAAAAGCGGTTGGTAGGTTTACAACCAAACTTTTGATCGCTCTGTGAAGCAAGGACCCGCCATCAGGAGTGTGACCAATCGGCTTATATCTGAACACCTCCCTCCTGGAAGAAAAGCTGGAAGACCCTCATCCCAGTTATGCCCATGAGATGCCAACCGCATTCGTTCTAGAACTATCAATGCTGGTCATCCATTGGGCTTCTTCACGCCAATATCCAGAATTTGCGGCCCTTGTTAGAGGGAGTGTTTACGTGACAGGCATCTTGAACACTTACCCCCAGCTGGGCAAGGTTCATGTAGTGGTTTCCTTCGGCGAGGTACTAAAAGTTGGCAGTCGACATTTTTTTTGTGATTGGGTTTCGAATGGCATCATTTAGCTAATGTCTATGCATGCCCTGTCCGGTTCTGATCACAATAATCCGCAATAAAGTTATAATGGTCCACTAAGCTCACCATCGTGAGATTTTTCATGGAACTATAGCATGAATGGTCTTGCCTCTTTACATGTCAAAGAGCAAGATATGTAAATATTCGTGTGATCAAGAACGGGTCTTGCAATAGATGATGTGTACAGTTATTCACCTAGGTGGGTGTCATTCGGTCGGCTTCATTATAGTGGTTTCTAGCTTAGAGTATATGAGGATGGTGCGAATCTGCGGTGGCTGTGGCTGGTCCCTTTTAGCTGATTCTTTTGAGGGTTGGATACGTGTTTCACTTAAACCGCCACTTAAGATGGCCCTGGAGCTCTATATTTATGGCCGAGGGATTCTTTCAGGTCTAAGCGGCCTGTAATCGAAGGTTCTGCCGGTTAGAACTGTGACTCTGAGCCGTTTCCCAAAGGGACTTTCTCCGAACCCTGCGCAACATTTCTCTGTACCGGAGATGTGTACTTATGAGGCGATCCTTCAAGCCAGCATCCATGCTTCTAAGCGTCCTCTTGGTATTTTCCTGGTTTCCTTTCTATGCCTAGTTTGTACTAGCTTCTTCTAAAATGAGCGAACAGAGCGGTGAGACGTATAGGGCTAAGAGTGTTATGTACCACGAACTATTATCAATACAGGGGAAACACTTCAGACAGATCATAATATAGGTTTAGTCTTTATTGAAACAAAAAGTTTTCGTAGAGCTGTACGCAAGTAGAACTCCGTTCGGGTGAATACTCTCTGAACGTCTGGATGAGCTGTGCTTTTCCCTCAATTCGTGCTCTACGTGAAGAAATATGAGTTGACATTGTCGTTCTATCTCGTACGTTGGAACTTCCATGCCAAGACGCCTATGTCTAATCGTGGAGGGTAAGCTCCTGCAGCAGTGATATGGAATCGGGAACAGTTATTCATAGAAGGCTGTGATATGGAATCGGGAACAATCATTGACATGACACCAATCTCTTCCATTGTATTTCGCAAAATATATGTTTCATCTATATGGAATAAACGCCGATATACATATGAAACTTGTTATTAAATTTTCATAGTAGTAGATTTTTTTTCACGCGCATCAGATAGTTCTGTTAGTTTCAATTGCAGTGGTTTAGATGGTTGTAGAGAAAGTCTGGTTGGACTTTGAATCCAGTTAGACTCTCATTTGGGACAGTTTTGAAACCATTGATGCATATAGAAAGTTAATGTTTCCAAAATTTTCAGACGAACGATTCTTAGAATGCACGTGTCGCAGGAGAAAAAATGAAATGAATGCATCACATGGAATAGATCGCAAAGAGTGTAAGATGCAGAGAAAACCATATCTGGATACGGAAAGTTTAGACAATAAAAACTAATATTTGTTGTGACACTATCAGAGAAATCTGTTGGAAGAGAAATTAATTCCACGTCATTAGATAAGATGGATATCAGAGAAATCTGTTGGAAGAAAAATTGATTCCACGTCATGAAATAAAATGGAGACATGTTAAAGGGTATAAACAAGAAATGATAAGTTCCATACTGATAGCTGACGTCAGCAAACTAACATTATCATCATATTATCATGGAACTCATCATTTACTATTTATACCTTTTGACATGTCTCCATCTCATATCATGGTACAGGATCACAACAACTATTATTCCTTATTATCTAAACCTTCCGAATCCAGAATCGCGGCCCATTCTGTGTGATAATTTCATTTCTTTTCCTACGACACGTGAATTGTGAAAATCATTCTTCCAAAAATGTTGCGAACATTAGCCTTCTTTCTGTACTGATGGTTTCAAACTCTTCCGAATGACACTATGAGTGGGTCGGAATTCTAGCCGGCCTTTCTTCACGTCACATCAAACCACTGCTGCTAGAACTAACAGAGCCATCCGATGTGCGTGAAAGGTAAGATGCTCTCATGAAATCTAGTCTAGTAACAAGTTTCAAATGTACATGAACGTGCGGTGATTATTCCAAATAGATGAAACATAAATCTTGCGAAGTACAGTGTAAGAAAGTGTTGTCATGCCTCCTCCTCTGTATAATATCCCAGAAACCCAACATCTATATTCTTGGACGACGACGTAGACCGCTTCACTCTTAGAAGGTGGTCTCAATTCTCCGCTTTGCGACGAAGAACATAGTCGACTCCTCAGCGGTGTTTGAGATTAATAGCTGCTGCGGAATGGTTCGGAAGTGAATGTCCGGACGATGACGATCTCCATCAATTGCGATTTTCGAGCTCTACTCTCGATTCTGACCGACCTACGCAGGAGATTGTGGACGATGATGGCGTCGTATGCGTCTTTTGATGCTGTGAACAATTCGCCAATGCCCGCTCCGATGGCATGGCGTGACAAATGCATCGAGAGGTCGGTGGGATTTCTCGCGACAATGCTCGTTCTGTGGTGGAAGGTCCCTGTGGCCTCTGCCATGTACCTCGTGCTCGTCGCCTGGTCCTTCACAATCTACGAGTCCGCTCTTGCGTCTCAGACTACTCCGAAGACGAGGCCGACCACAACTACGACACCAACCACATCTGGTGCTGGAACTTCGACCCGCCTCCAAGATCAGCAGCCAATCCCGAGAGGAGACGGGGCTGGAACCCCTACCCACAGCCAAGACTTATCTCGTTTGGCGAACACCACAAGGTCAGTACGTGGTTGGAATGGTTTGGAGGAAGCCTAATAAGTCCATCACTAATCGATCTAGAGAACCACCCATTTATTTATAATTTTCATATTTGCGTTGATTTATTTTGAGAGTAGACTAAAGACAATGACCTAGTTAAAATTCTCGAGCGATAAATATGAGTTGTGCTTACGCAGTAGAATCGGAGTCACGCAGTAGCTATAGGCGGACTTGACAGAGATTAGATCATTTGATAGCTACAAAGTTTCACCTCCCAATAGAGTCACCTCTTAGAAGTGACATACTCCCAATAGTGACTTAAAAGTGAAGAATCATTAGATCGTAACTTGAAAATCTATCAAATAAGAACTGTACGTAAGTATTTTCTAATAGTGACATAACATCTCAAATAGTGACGGTTAGTGGCACGTGGCAAATATTTGTTTGTGCTTCGACATTTTCAACAATGTTCTTCCGGTTGACCGACAAAGTTTGTAAGAAAACTTCGAATCATTCTTCACGAGCTAGATGTACTCACTGGCAGACCTCGTAACAGAGCTCGTAATAAAATTTCGTTGGAAAACTTTAGAGCATTCTTCACGAGCTATATGTCCTCACTGTCAGAGTTCATAACAGAGCTTTGTAGTAAAACTTTAGAGCATTCTTCACGAGTTAGATGTCCTCACCGAGAGTGCGTTCTTGTGTCAGTGCGTTATTTCAGAGCAAGATGTTATGCCATCACATAACTCTCTCTTTCTCTCTTACATCTTTCTCCCTATAGCAACATATAAATGTAAATGTTTCCTTGTACAAAAAGTGATATCTGTACGTTCTGAAGCTTTCTTATCAAATTAGATTATGTTTAAACATGTTTGAAATTCGTACAGTACAGTATCACAGACAGGTGTGACAACTTTCTGATCGGTCCAACAGTATGATGGTGAAGTGTTGAGCTGGCCTTCCACGATATGTGTTGACTTTCGAGCTGGTCGGAGTTGCCATGCAAGAAATGGCAGTGCCGAGGTTGGTTTATGTTGGGGTCTGTTGCATCCTTAATGCATAGGCATCTAGTCGAAGTTTTGCCGACTGCACGGACATGGTCAACAAGTTGCATGCTGAGATTCTTTGAACATGTTGTTCATAATGGAGCCAATGGCCTAGCAAATTGCTCATGAAAGCGTTCTCATGTAAGGCTGATTAAACGCTCACAACTATGAACTATTCCAGATTACGACACATCAAGCAGGAAGGAAGGAAGGCATGCCCCAGTTGCATTTTTCCACAAGTGCTGCGACGAGCGGAGCTGTCCGAGCTCAACGTGCTCATGCTCTTCGAGTAACTTCTTCATGCAAAGGATTATAGGAAACGTATGAGGAGATCAGGCTAATTTCAAGGTTATCCTGTACTTGCCTGTTGGCTGTTCCATCATTGAGAGTCCGCTAACTCCGCTCACATTTCCAGTGTTAAGATTTTTGAGACGTACATTGTCAAACTTTTTCAGCCTCCTCGTGCAAGAAGGGCAGATGAAGCTTTGTCAACACTTTAGAGAACGGACCATCTTCTAATTTGGATACCATCTTCTAATTTGGAGACTCTGATGTACTGCAAGGCTTGTAGATACACTTGTGACGAAGATGCTGCTATTCTTACTTCAAGTTGTAATTCATAAAATCTTTGACATCTTCTTTAATCTCTGCAAATCAAAATAACATTTTCTGTTGTAGGTGATGAGATTGTGATTCCAGACAAGCTCTAGTAGTTGTCAACACTTGACCTCCATGTGATTATTAATCTTTTTAAATTTATACGATGCCCACTATTGAATATCAAACATCTTTCATGTATTCTTCCTTTACTGGATTTACATTTGCGCTTCCTACCTATCCAAGTTCCTCAAATCATTACAAAATGCAATCTTCATGTTGAGATCACTCGAATTCTGAACATCAACTGTGGTATTTGGGTCAACCTTGCCATCAACTCGGGTAGCCGACATCATATACAGCTTCTATAGTATCATCTCAAGCATGTGTATAAACTCTATGTACGCATTGGTTTGATCATACTCCAAAGTAAGAAGGGCAACAATCTAGTCTTCAAATTGATTCATCTTCATCTATTGGACAACTCTACAAACTCAAGTTCAATGTGTGTATGTTTGTAGATATCTACAAGCATACACAAAACATTGCAGATTTTATTTCAACGAACTCTCTTCTGTCACACATGTGAACTGAAGAGCAAACTCGTCAGCTAAGGTTACTAACCGTGTGAACGACCATGGCTTAGAAATATCATCAAGTTGAATTTCTTGCAAAATTTTCCATAAATCATCTATCGCTTGATTTGAGACTATAACAAATCTATCAATACCTTAATTAGAATTCTTTTGATAAATGACAGGGAGACAATTAACTTTCACAAATCATCTTCGAATGGTATTCTCCTCGAGATTATCTGATGCCGACTTGATCCAACCAAGCACATTGCGTAAATGTGTATGATGGTTGATTGGAAATTGAGAATGAGGTGCACATTCAAACGCTTTCCAGAGTTCATACTCAGACATCAGGTGATTCAGTTGACCATGGCAAAAGTGCGCTTTGAAAGACCGAATGATTCCTTGATCAAGAGGTTGACATTCGCTTGTAGCATTCGGTGGAAAAAAAAATAATGCACAAATTCTGAAATCGGAAAAAAGTTTCCTGTGAACCTGATGGATCCAAAATCTTTGACACGCAAACATGAGATGAGCAATTATCTTTCAGTATATAGAAGACAACGTTTTGATTCTTTGCAATCTTGTTGTATTTGTGTAGGAGTTGCATATAAGATGATGTATCCTACTAGGCTTTAGGTTGATGATCATAAATAATTCCAAAAGCTTTGCTGATATCTGGAATATGCTTCAAAGTCCGAGTACGAGCACTCTTTGTGATAACTTGAGTGGTAAATGTCTCACCTAAAGCGCTTACTCCGAGCGTAACTGCAATTCTATCTTTGCTTCGCTTGACACCCGGATCATCTGAATTGGTTGTGCAGTACGACCGTGATGATGTTGTGCGATGCTCTAAAGCCGATTCAGCAATGTTGATAATACATTTGAGTGTAACATGGATCAACGCTGCACAAATTTCATGTAAACAACCTGGATGAAATTGAAGCTGTTATGCTCTCCGCACCTCTTCACACTAGATGTTGAGACGCGTTTCAGATATTTCTGCAGCCATCCATTTGAAGCAACAAATGTCTGAAGATGAATAATATCGGATGATTTCAAACATTTCATGAAGTCATTCAGAATCTTGTTTCAAAAAAACAGAGCCTTGTTTTTGAGCACCTCTCCAGTCAAGTTTAGTGAGGGCGCATCAACCTCAACGTGCATATGCCATTGATGCACCATGTCGGCAAGAATCTGCACTCGAGTTGATCTGAAAATCATATTAACACCATCTCTGTTTGATTCCGATGCCACCTAACTGATAACTTCTCCTTGGTTCCAAATTTTTGAAACAGTTGAACGTGCTATCAAAAATGCTAATGCTGCTTCATCCTAAGTGGCTCGTGGTTTACTGAGAAAATTGAACACCTCCAATTTCATCTTGACATCCAAACGTTTATGCTTCTACATTGCAAAACTGTCGTGAACCTTGAAAATGAGAAAAAACACGCCAAACAATGAACTTGGAGAAGTTTGTGTGCCACAAACTTCTCCAAGTGGCACACGTGGACCACTTTAAAGTTGAACAAGTGTAGCTCTACAGACCCTGAAGCTACAAAACCTCCTCGAAGTGAGTAGTGAACCTTAACTGTAGAACCAATACGTGTCACTATTGGGAGGTGAAACTCTGTACTTGAGTTCAGACCTCTCACTCTTTCGGAGATCACTACCCGGATTCTGAATCTTTCCGGAAGTCCATAACCACTCTTGGAAAGGGTGTAAGTGCGAGATTTGAGGGGCCAAATAGATTAAAGAAGATGGACTAACATATCGATTCGAATATTAAAAAGTATATCATTTTCTAAATTTCTATAATATAGTGATAAAAAATATGATTTACAGAATATTGAGAAATATATAAGAGAGTCCATAAGGTATCTTAGTGATCAAATACAGAGCTCACAAGTGAATGTCCAGCTTCGTCCAAGCATTTCTTTATCGGTAATGATGGAAACACATTGATTGTAAACAAGTTATGTTTAGAGAAAATAAGAAAACAATATCATCGACATCAGTATTCACAACCTAGTTGAAGTCAATATCCATAGATCTGAATATGTGGACAAAGAGTTTCATAGCTATTTGTGTGTGTCACCGAAAGATCACGGATCATCATGAACATCATCAGCTATTGACTAGACAGCACTTGAATATCACAAATTACATGAGCGCTCATGCATGACGTGACTCACGGCTAGTTTGGTTACTCCACCGCTCGCATACATCTTGCTTCTATCGTGCTTGTTTTAAAAGTCCATTTAGTACTCGTACTCAAAATTTCATGGCTTATCATCCATGTAAAAAGATGTTAATGGTTTCTATCACATGATTGTATTCTGCGATGTGATTATGTTTCACAGTGCAGTACAAGCTTAAGAGGGACTGAAATTGAAATATCCCATCTGCAACATCGCGAGATTTTATAAATGCCATAGCATGACACCCAGACCTCAAACCAAACCATAAGATATACAATCGGATTGATGAGGTAAATGAAGCACTTCTGGTACAAGGGATCTTGCAAAACGGAATGTTTCCAAGCGAGGCGGGTAATGTAAGGCTAGGTGCGAGATGGAGAGGCCTGCATCCTGTACAGTGCAGGCCTCTTCATAATTAGTCCACGCTACGTACCAAGTCAACCTTTAACCCCAGTCTTAAACCCCAGTCGCAGCTGCAGGGGGTGGCAGTCTCCTTCTAAAATCGTTTGTGGTTGTTCGTCTTGTCGACGTGAGTTCTACTCTGTCTATCCATTCAAAAAAAGCGAGACTCAAAAGCTTCATAAAGGCTCGAGAAATCAATCACTCCTGCTCTCCTGCACTCTATCTATCCATTCACAAAAAGCGAGACCTAAAAGCTTCAGAAAGGAACGAGAAAACAATCACTCTTGCTCTGCTGCAGAACTCCTCGCCTTGCCAATGCCTTCTGAATTGGCAAGGCAAGGAGTTCTGTACCAGTTGAAGAGTTATTGTTTTCCAGCCTCGCATTATAACCGGATTGTGGGAAAATGGACTTTTTTTCTTCAAATTTCTGATATTATTTCCGATTAAAGCCAAGAATACCAAAGTCCGAAAAGGATAGCAAGCCCTTCGCTGCTTCCACAGATTTCTCATGGCATTTGAGGTTCCAAACTTTGGGAACAGGTTTGAAGCAATATTCCAGTTCACGTTACAATTGTGTCGCTTCTGGAGGACTCTCAGGAGCTGTCACTAACTCTCGTGGGAGATTGTGCCTGTTGACTTCTCACACATTTGTAGAATTTGTTCGTATGACAAGGCAACAATCCCACGCATCCGAAGACTCTCTGTACGATTGCTTTCAGAACCCGCCAGAATAAAGCGCAGTTGTTGGTGGCAGTGGTCCTACTCAAAAAGGGAAGGCGGCCACACCATATGTAGCCAAATGCCAAATCATGAAGTCGTCCTCGTGAGCTCAACAATCATCGGCTGGAGCGGGTGTGTCTGTGCTTAACAATGTGATGTTAGTGAAGATTGCCTCATTCACCACAGCAGCCTTATGGATTGGGGCGTGTCATCCAATTTTTCGCTGCACAAACATGAAAATGACATTTTTAGGTTCAAACAGAACATCGTCAACTCGCTCTAGTCAACCCACGAGAATTTCTTCGTCTCAATGACAGTTTGGGTGCTCGAAGCTGTGTACCATGCTTTGATCTACAAATGCGTGGCATCATAGGCGCAGGCAGTAAAGCAAAAATTTCAGATATACGCTGAATGCCTTTTGCTGATTCTATTCCCGGTAGCTGTCGTCGTTAGAACCTCAAATTAAGCGCATGAAGCCTTGTAAGGACCCCAACGACAGGACCAAAATCTTTGAGCAGAATTTGGAGAAGCTGTAAACGTCACAATCTTCAAATTCCATAATTCGAAATAACACACGAACACGGTCATCGGGGAAAATAAAACTCCGGAAATCTCTGCTCAAAACATGTTACGACTAAGAGAACGCAAACAGCCATCCAAAGCTCAATACTACCCTCTTCACAGCCTCTCCAGGTTTGAATTCGAATCAAATTAACTCTATGATCGTCCGTCCGAAGCGGACTACAGGGGCCCGAAATAGAAGACTCCGCTGCCCAAAGAGATTCACTCACGATCTGACGAAACTCGTCGAGAACGGACTCCAGTCCCATCTCGTGTTACCTGGATCTGCCGGTCAGACTGGAAAATGCGGACATGCGCTGCGCGAGCAACAGGATGATGGCTGGCGAAGCGACGGGCTAGACCGATCCGCCGACGACCGAGGCCACGGCTTCGGCAGCGAAGGCAGCGGCCCTAGACTGGCGGCTGCCGGTCCCGACGGCGCGTGCGGACGGGCGTTCTGTCGCCGCTGCGCGTCGACCGGGGCGAGCGGTCTCCTGGGCGAGACGTAGCGGTCGGCCGCCGCGTGGCAAGGCTTGGCAATGCTCGCGATCGGAGTGAGCGGCCTCTGGGACACCCACCTCCTACGCCTGGACCGCGGGGTTAAAGTCGACGGTTCGGCCGGAGCTCCGACCCCGACAATTCCGTCCATCAGTGCCGCAGCGGCGGGACCGAGCCCGACGTCAGCCCTGTCATGAACACCGCATTCCACAACAATACGTCAGAATCCGTCAGACTCCTCCTCTTATCCGCCGCAATCCGACTCCCAGTCTCCACTGCGTCCGTCTTTACTGCTCCCCACATGACGGACGTCCAGAAAGATTCTAAATCCGGGGAGTGATCTCGGAAAGAGTCAGAGGTCTGAACTCAAGTAGCTATCAAGTGATCTAATCTCTGTCAAGTCCGCCTATGGCGACTGCGTGACTCCGATCTACCGCGTAAGCACAACTCGTATTTATCGCTCGACAATTTTAACTAGCTCATTGTCTTTAGTCTATTCGCAACATAAATCAACGCAAATATTAAATTATAAATAAATTGGTGGTTCTGCTGGTCGATTAGTGATGGGCTTATCAGGCTTCCTCCAAACCATACCAACCACGGACTGACCTCGCGGTGTACGCCGAACGAGGTAAGTCTTGGCTGTGGGTAGGGGTTCCAGCCCCGTCTCCTCTCGGGATTCGCTGCTGACCGCGGGGGCGGGTCGAAGTTCCAGCACCGGATGTGGTTGGTGTCGTAGTCGTGGTCGGCCTCGTACTCGGAGTAGTCTGAGCCGCACGAGCCGCCTCGTAGATTGTGAAAGACCAGGCGACGAGCACGAGGTAAATGGCGGAGGCCAAAGGGCCCTTCCACCACAGTACGAGCATTGTGGCGAGAAATCCCACCGAGCTCTCGATGCATTTGCCACGCCATGCCATTGGAGCGGGCATTGGCGAATTGTTCAGAGCATCAGTCGACGCAGACGACGCCATCCTCGTCCACAATCTCCTGCGTCCGTCGGTCGGTCGGAAAGAATCGAGAGGAGAGCTCGAGAATCGCAATCGATGGAGGTCGTCGTCGTCCGAACCATTCGGCAGCAGCTATCGATAGCAGACACCGCTGAGGAATCGACTCTCTTCTTCGTCGTCGCAAAGCGGAGAATTTAGACCATCTTCTGAGAGTGAAGCGGTCTACATCGTCATCGTCGTCCAATTGTCAAGTGCTCGTTTCTCGCGCCGATCTCATTCCAGTTTCGCCGAATTGATCTCCACTCCACGCTGCGGATATGGAAGGAGGAGGGATCGCGCGCAGCCCACGGATTCAAGCTCTCGACGAATTCAAGCTCCTCGCTCAAAGCTGCGCTTGCAAAAAGACTATTGGACAAGAATCGAGAACTGCCTCGGGCTCTATAAGCGCGCGCTCGTACGCTGGAATCAGTTCAAATGCTCTCCAGCTCAACGTGCGTCAGCCGTCGGCGCGTCGTGTCGTTCGAATTGGGCGCTGCGAGAGTCCTCATGCCGGACCAGTGACCTCGTGCACGAGCTCGAGACCCCATCTCGATATCCGGGGAAAGGAAAGGAAAAGAAAGGAAGGGCTTGATTTGATGATTTGACGAGGAGGCGATGCACATGAAGCGAAAAGTGGCAAGCACGCAGACCGAGCGACCGATGGAGCGAAGGAGCGAGCCATGGGTTTGTTGTGAGCGGAGGAGAACTAGTGAAAAGTTTGTGCTGGACCCGAAGGCAGAGCGGGAAGTGGACACAGATTGCGTCGAGTCGCTCGAGTTTGTGTTCGGAGTTGTGTGTCGCCGAATTGGGGGTCCGTCGTGGCCACACGAAGACGAGAGCTTCGATGTCGTCGCTTCGACATTGCCTCTAGGATTGCCTCTCGCCTCCGGTCCAGGACCTGCAATCGGGTGCATGTTCCGAAGTGGCCTGGCGAGCGAGCACCAACGGTTTTTTCTGCAACCTGCTTTTGTCACCTGTAGGCTCAACTCTCACACTTTCACTTACGATTGAGTTTGCGACGGCAGCAGCAGCAGGCGCAAACTACAGACTATTTCATTAATCTGATTTTCGTGAAAATCTGATTATCCGAGGTCGGACGTCAGATTCTGTGCATCGAACGTCATCTTTATGAGTCTATTCCGAATTCAGGGTTTTCAGTACTTCTAAATGTTCAGGTATACCTCGTAACTTCGAAGCAACCCTTCGTCGTCGATGTCGACGAGTATGGTGCACATTATTTGTATGTGTCGTCCACTCAGCAAGTACCCGTCCCTCTCATCCATCCAAACATCGATCCGAATCCGATGGAAGGAAAGGACTCGGATCTCTTCTGTCCGAGGCAAGCAATCTCAATTCACCTTGTCGAAACAAAACTCTCCTTCCCTTTGGGACCGTGCCACCCGATCAAGAACAAGGTCCCAAAAGCTCCATAGCTGGATCGACGAGTTCCAACAAATCATAACTGTGACCGGATATTTGACGAGTCGAATTATTAAAACCCATTCACATTCGAACCACATTATTGTAGGCAGGGAGCACTCCCATGTGGTCGAGAACTTTGAGAGTTGTGTCGCAGAGAACCGTATTAGCATACAATGAAACGACATAAGGTCAAATTAATCAAGGTCACAACGAATTAAGGTCCATGAATTTCACTAAAAGGCCCTCGTTTGTGGCTTTATCAGCATCCAATGAAACGACATAAGGTCAAATTAATTAAGGTCATAACGAATTAAGGTCCATAAGTTTCACTAAAAAGTCTTCGTTTGTGGCTTTATCAGCATCCAATTAAACGACATAAGGTCAATTCAATTGAGGTCCATAAGTTTCACTAAAAAGTCCTCGTTTGTGGCTTTATCAGCATCCAAGGAAAGGACATAAGGTCAATTTAATTGAGGTCCATGAATTTCACTAAAAGGTCCTCGTTTGTGGCTTTATCAGCATCCAATGAAACGACAGAAGATCAAATTAGTTCAGGTCATGATGCTTAAGGCCTATGAGTTTCAGCAAAAGGTAAAAGCTAATGGCTTTATCCAGGCTCGAACTGGAGACCTTCAGTGTGTTAGACTGACGTGATAACCAACTACACCATAAAACCGGATGTCCAATGACAGTGGTTTAATAAATATAAAGTATTGTATAATGGCTTTTTCGTGTGGAAAATACATGTCAGGATTTACGAGTCCCTATTTCCCACTAATTTAAGTAGAATGGCAGTTGATTGGCCCTTCCGCCTCCGCCTTCAGGTGTTCCGATCAACCGACGAGGAATTATAATATAGTTATTGTTATAATATATATGGTTTCATGTTTTTTAACATTTTAATTTGTATTCCTCAAATGCACACAAAGTTCAGTAGACATGATTCTCATCACCTTCGGCCAAGCGCACTGGCAAAGAAAGCTCACTCGGAAACCAGACAATACTGTTGCCTGAAGTAGATTCTTCTGAAGATCCGGTCAAGATTCCGGTCGTTCTCGATGAAGATAACTGTCCAATTCTCCTTTTCCTATGACTTGTTGCTTCCTGTTGTGATAGAATTCTGGCCTCTTTAGTGGGAATTTGATGAATGAGTCTTCAATGATGGAAAAAGGCTCCAAGAGCGCGTGTCCTGAGATTTGATTTGAGCTCTCGGAGCCATGCGCTGTTGAGGTACCAAGAAAGTTTAATACTACTTATTTAGAGTTTAGAGTACTGCTTCAGATTGAATATTGTGTGGATTTGATACATGAAATTAAAAAGGTTAAAAAAAAGGAACGATATTAATAATAATAAAATTTATACCATGATTAGAAAAAATGTTATTAATGTACTGAAATATGAGAATTTCATATCTCCGCAATTTTTCATTAACATAAGTTGGCATGGGGACTAATTAAAAACTTCATGACCAATGTTGAAGAAGACAAATGTGAATCTCATGGAAGTTCCCGTTTGCTGTGACTGTTCGTCGTGTAGTTAGATGCACTTTGATCCAACTGATGAAGAAGGGATGCTAGAATCATACATTTTGCAATCAAGGCCCTGCCCACCACCAGAAACATTCACATACAAACCGGAAGCTCTCACTTTTGGCAATCAGAAGTTAGGACGACGAGTACTTGATTTATTTCGTCAGATGTGGAAAACTACAAGTCCAGATCTCGACACTCTACGACGTTGGCAGAAGGGAACTGCGCCACTGCTTGTACTCGACACCATGGCAGCAGCTGCTGCATCACTTGCAGTTGCAGTTGCTGCAGCACGAGCAGTTATCACCGCACTTGCATCCCTCGTTGGTGCCCTCGAAGCTGTACAATAAAGCAGCGAATGAATGAGCTCAGCCACCCCGAAAGATCCGACGCAAGCAAAATTTGATATTCGGTGACAGTGTGGAAGTCAAACGAAGGGACTCGAGATTTTATCGATGAACTCATCGATAAAATCTCGAGTCCGTTGAATACGGGTACGTGAGTACATGGAAACTGAGGGACTGACTGACTGAATGATATGATTCAATGATCGACTGATTGATAGATGCGTACCCTCTCATCTCGGAGCTCTCGAAGCTGTCCACGGACCTCTTGGGGCAGCAGCTGCCACGGACAGGAAATCAGAATTCACAGTGAAATGCATCAGTCTCAGAACTCCTCGACTGATGGATATATTTCTTGTGACTGGGGATGATTTAGGGTGAGCACAAATCACTGATGGGATGTTCTGTCGATATATTCTCACACTTGATGGACGAGATGTTCTGCAAAAGTCATGAGCTTATGCAACAGAATGGAACAGAATGAAGACAACCACTGTGCAGAATATCAAGGACTCCACTCTCGAATCTCACATGACACTCGCAATCCATAGTCTCTGAAACCATGGGTTCCGAACTGAATCTGATATCACTCAGTAGAAGAAACGGTTTCTGCAAATGGAACACAAGCACGAACTGCTTCACTACAAGGACCTCATATTTTTCCTCGTGTGGAACCAGGACTTTTTCTAACCTGGTGCCAGTGCTGCACTTGCAGGCAGCGCCGCATGAACAAGCAGAGCTTCCGCAGCCAGACATCTTGAAATGGTCGTAAGAAGATTGAGGAGCTAGATAGCTCTAAATGGATGGCAATTGAACTGAATGCTGGTGATTTCAAAACCAGGAGTTTCCAGAGCAATGCGTTGTGCTGAAGTATGCACGGCCGCTAGTCTCATTATATACTCGCTTTCTGCCTTTAGATCATACATCGCCTCTCTGCAGCTCGGTACGAAATTCACCAGGTGCAGCAGCAGGTGCGAGGAAGAAGAGTCACAGCCTCCTGGGCCTTTGCCTTCGCCTTGGCCGCTGCAGCTGCACAACAGGGTCTGGGTGTTCGTTCAAAATAGCAATCAGCTGACCGACCAGCCAGCCACACATAAAGCGCTCTCGACTGCAGGAATCAGACTCCACAGATTGCGTCCCGGAGTGGAAATTTGAGGCGCCAGTGGATCATCATGAACCACGGGATGGATGGATGGATGGAGGGATGGTGATGCATCTGAAGTCTTGGCCTCCCCACTGACCTCTTCAGTGCATGGTTCCATGGTACGCAGTGTCGAGAATTGCGTGTCGTCCATGAAGTGACAGGGTGTTGAGAAATTCCCTGTGCTTGACGGTTCCCTGAACTCCAGCACAACCGCCGTCTGCAAATCTTCACGCCACCATTCACGCTCTAATAGTTCGAGAGTTGGATGATATCCCAAATGCATGAAGCTGCTGATCTCTCGACTGTTGTCTCTTTATGGGTGACAAACGAAACTTCTCAAGCTTCGACTGCAGATGTCAGTGATTCTGGAAACTATTGAGCACTGTATTTCCACCTCTATTTCCATTCGGCAAGGATACCAGAGGCACATTCCATCCTGCAACTTTATGGGAATTTCAGAAGTGGAAGCAGTCATCTCGCTGAAACCTTTTCGACATTCTATCATGTCGCAATTGTTGAGTCTTATGTGATATTATTAAATGAGATAAAGTAAGCTCAATTTACTTTTTTATATATTAATTGTAAGATTTAAATATCGTCCTATAAATAAATAAATGACGATATTCTAATCTGCAAAGAAACCAGCAAGATACAAACGTTTTTTTGAATATTACCCGTGATGGTGATATTGGAATGCCTAGTATATTGTTACATGGTATCACTATGTTGGTCATAGTTTGAGAAACAATGAGTCGTGATAGATGTGATTCAGATTCTACACCTGACATATATCTTACAATTTCCATTGTTAATGTTATAAAACTAAATTTTGAAGTTTACTTCCAATCATGACTCAATGTTGCCATTAAGTATGTTGAATAACCTCTTAAGCTGATAAAAATAATCGCACCTCTGTGTATATTGCATGTCTTATTTACATTTGTATTTGCATGGAAATAAGAATCTTTTCATGTACACTCTGCAGAAGTACGAAAAGCTTAATTCTTCTCTGTACCAAAAAGATATGTATGACAATGGAGAGACGATAAAAGTAAACTTTGGAATTTGGAAGTTAAACGTCAAATCTAATAAGAAATAGTTTTTCAAATGCATCTTTGAAGCATCAAGAGATTTGCAAACTATTATTTGGCCAGTTAGTGGTCGTCACTTCTGATGAGCACTGGAACTTTCAAAAGAAGATTTGGTGTGAATATCAAAATATTTCCTTTTGGAGTGTTAAACTGATTATAAGATATTTCACCTTGTAACAAGTAAAATAAGGCAGCGTCTAGTCATAACTCATTTTATGATAATTATCACTCACGTCACAAATGAGATCTTCGCCTACCACTATGCACATGAACTTTGCTTTGAATTCACAGCAAGTGTTACGGTTGGATGTGTTGCACTGGCGAGGAATTTCATGGATCTGCCCTGCGTCTACCCTTATTCGCGACCGTGTAGCTAGACCTCGGCAAGGTAAGGTAAAAGGTATCGGGTAAGGCATGGACCTTTACCTTACTTGCGCCATTACTGTCTACCATTACCCTTTACCTCTACCTCAAGGTAATTACCCGGTTACTTGGTACGGGATTCTTAAAGGTTTAAAAGTTACCCGGTAAATCTACCTTTTAGGGTAAAAGGTAGAGCTAATAGGGTAATTTACCCGTTTAGTAAACAAGTTCACGAGATTATGTATTGCTGTCGGATTACCAATTCGGCTTAAACTTGCATTGCTATTTTCTGGATGAGTACAAAGACGTATTTTCGATTTCATCCATGTTCTAGTAGTCTAGCGAAATAAGAAGCTTCATTGCCAATGATCGGACATCAATTGAAAGACATAGTAGAACAACAAAAAGTAAGGGAAGAATGAAAATGCTCACCTGTACTGATTGGTGTACAAGAGAGTACTACAAATATAAGCTTTACAGGAGGAGTTCCCGGAAGTGATGAATCCACGAGATAATACAAATCCTCTCAAAGGAGTAATTTGTTACTAAAGCAGTTCCATTCTGACCTGCTATCACCTTCAGCGATAAACTCGATGATAAATGGTGCTGCAGCTGGCCTGAAATTTCCTGACTTGCTATCCCTTCAGCAATAAACCATGTATGGAGAGCCCACAAGATTATCGCAACTAATCTGAAAGAAAAGAAAAATTTAGCAAGTGATAACAGTGTGAAATTCAATTTGCCATGAAAAAGTTCATCAAACACTTCATTCTCTTCTCATCATCCACCGAGTTCCGTGATGGAATGGAAACTCTCCAGATCATATATGTCGGAGGTCGTCATATGCAAGAGTTTCACCTTTAACTCCTTATCTACACTTCGTTTTTTCACGAGATTATGCACAACAGCGATTGAGGTGGGAATTATCAATCTGGGTTAAACCTACATTACTGTTTTCTGGATTCAGTCTTAACGGAGAATGTGCAGAATTACATTTTGAGTAATTCTAAGAGGATCCACGTTTTTGTTTTTTCGCGGGTACGAGAGTTACCCGGTAATTACTAGCTAACCCATTTGGCCCTACCTTTACGTTACTCTATAGCCAAACCTCTAGCTTCTACCCTTACCTTTGACCCTATAACCCTAAAAGTTTACCTTACCTTGCCTAGACCTAAGTGTAACCTTACTCAACGTGTAAGTAAAGCATTGCATTGTAGGTAAAGCAGCGCGGAATGTTGTGTTGAGAGACTCTTACGGAGCGAGCTTGTTGATCTTGAAATGAGATACATTTTTTAACAATTTGTGTAGGGAGAGTGATAATAAATACAAACACCAATAGGACGTAATAAAATCTATTGTTAGTTTACGTTGAACCCATCACTTTTACGGCTGGAAACAGGAGGATGAGTCTATGGCACAAATAAACAGGTCTCACATTTGCAACCAAGAGCGACACACAGATACAGATGTAGAATATAATCGTGTAATCGCTCCCACATACTGAGAGCTTCAAGTGCTGTGCAACCACAAAAGATTAAGTAGTGTGGATGCTAGGAATACGTGGTTGGAATGATAACGAGAAGCCATATTCTCCAGGAGAACCCCTACGATTCTGACAACTTTATCGCGCTACTGTCTGTCCCATTTGAGTTTGATGAGTACTGGTTTAAGTGCTTACAACTCGAGCACTTTTTGATTTATTAACACACATGTCATTTACAAGTTACAACTCAATTCCTCCAGTGTTGAGGATAATAATTGTGAAGAACTGAAATTCTCAGCATCTCAGAGATGTGATGCGCGATACCATACTGCGTATGTGCATGCAGGCCATGGACATAGAATACCGACAGCTTCTAATACAACGTTAAGCCAGATGTTGGAAGATGCAGCAGACCGAGATAATACTTTGTATTCTCTGATAAAAGCATGCCTATTGCAAGGATGATGGTTGAAATGACCTGGGTAAATAACTGTCTTAAAGATACAAGCCAAAATTGACCTTGAGTACACAAGAGTCACCAAGGATAACCGACCGATACACTCTTCACACTCGCAATATTCTAGCATGAACATTGGTTCAAAAACTGAATTCTAATGATCACTGCTCCGTGTTATCCTCGGGTTCACTTGTATGAATCAGCCAGTCCTACTTCGGTCTATTGTTTCAAAATCTTACAATCTGCAGTGACCTCGATAATGCCAAAAACGTATCTATCTGCAATATCCCCTCAAAAGTGATAAATTCTATGCTAGGGGCGATCACATCAGGTCCCATCTAGAAAAATCTACTTCAATAATTACCTAGTAACAAAAGGGTAACGATCATCACACCGTAGTGAGTATCATGAAGCCTCCTCCTCCTTAGGTTGATTTCTAAGCTTCCGTCTTTGATGTACATCAAAATTGTACACTCGTGCTATGGTCACCTGTTCATTTGAAATTCATATCTCCATTAGATTCCACAATGACAAAATCAGGTTGATCCAGTCGTACAATCATCAGTCAGTTGCATGCAAAGCACATCCCGAGTTTTTCAAGATAAAGTGGACGATGAAATTTACAGCCTATAAGGCTAGAAAGCATCACATGTCCACACCAAAGCACTGATGCACATTCGACTAAATATGAGATCCTTACCTCCGTAACAGTAACTTGGTCCCGAAGGAACTGCATATCTTCGATAGTGGCTTTCAGACTTCCAGTTGCATTTTCTAAATTATTTTGTAGCAGACTCATAGCCTGTACAAAGAAATATAAATTCATTCAAAAGCAACCTCCAAAGTCCACCTGCATGCATGCTGTGTATTACTTGGGCAAACACCCAATACCTCTCAGTCCAGAATCTTTCCTCCAACATTGCGAAACATCCAAGGACAGAAAAGAGAGGTAATCAAATGCGTCATTCTGATTAAACGATTCTATTTTTTTGGTGACCCTTTAGTTTCAAAGGAAAGAAAATGTCCTGGTTGATCTCCCCCAACAAAAGATGGGATAAATAGCTTGAACTAACCTCCTCGCAAGTATATTCAAGCATGACATTGGCTCCCAGCCACAAACAAACTGAATCAGCTTCCGGGATTGTTGCTCGAGAATAGATTCCCTCCGCAAGCTCAAAGTCCACCTTCATAGCCTATGTCAGAGAACTGGAAGTTTTAATAGCAGTGGAAGCAGCAGCTTTCAAAGCAAGCCACATAGGAAGACCCCATAACCTCTAGACACCAAATAATTAGTCAAAATTGAAGTCCAGCCCGAGAAACGTGAAACAAACAAGTCATAGATCAATATCTTTGGATGAATACTAGTGAGAAAAAACCAAAGACAATTACTAGCAAGCAATTCCTGGTTATGATCAACATTACGTTGAACTAGCAGGCAACAAGCAACCTTAAGTTGCAACGTGCAGCTATACGTTGCTGATGTGAGTTTGGATTTACTCTTTCGAAGAAAAGAGGGGAACACTAACCTCGCCAGTCCCTTTTTTGGCAAGCAACGTTCCCACGATTTCTACACACTTTCTTATGTCTGGAATCTTCGCCTGCAAGAACCGCAGATTTTAAATGTTGAGTTAATCTCAAATGGATTATTACAAAGTCATGTAATGCACAAAAATCTCACTAGATGGACAAAATCTTGCCATAGTCTGGGATCTTCTAAATTCAGTTGTTTCGGATAACCCACTCGTGAGCATGATTTGCTCAGACATCCTCATTTGTTCTCTAAGGAATATGTGTGAAAATATAATATTGTAAAAAACCTGAGCTACTGCGTCAAAATCTACACACAAATTACGTCCCTGGGAGACTATGAAGTTACAGGGCGTTTGCATTTCTCTCCTTCAAAATGTTTACAAGATGTTTTACTAATTAACATCCAAAATAAGATCCTATTTGGATTGTTCAGAGGCTGAATCGAAATTAAGATAAAAATTGCGCTGGACAGATCATCTTGTATCCAAAATCAAACTACGGCGCCCTCACTAATCATCCTGAAAACAAAATTGGACACAAAGTTGTCTCCAACTCATGCAATCGCAACTTATAAAAGCTCAACAAAAAATATTTCATACGTGGACAACATAGAGACCAATCACAAAGCAACTCAAACTCGCATTTTTATCTGCATCGAGCCGACACTTGAAGAAATCAAATGACCCGCCCAAGAAAAAGCAATCTTCCTAAGTTCTTTCGCAGGGAAAAATCCATAGAATCGAGTACCAATTCAATCAGCCAATATGGTACTCGAGACTCATTTCAGGACGATGGACGTTAATCAACTGACGGAACACGTGATCATGGAATAATTCGCACATTACCTGCAAGTCTCGTCGTTGGGCAAGAAGTTTCATCTCAGCGAGCTTGTACTGCTGAAGCCTGCCCAGATAACAGAAAACATTACTTCAAGATAACAGCTTCCGAAATCCTGTAAGGTGATCAATGACGTTGCCGTACAGGAACTAAGGAAACAGACAACTGGCAGAGAGTTGGAAGAATCTTTTCCGACCTAGGCAGATGCATGCAATGCCATCCGTCACGAATCGATGCCCAATTCGGAATGCACTAGACAGAACAGGACCGATGAATCCTTCACTGAACCATGAACTTCTGATGGCACCCAGACACACTGCCAGTGCCGATTTCGATACAGATCGTCGAAATCAAGAATGTCGCCGGTCGAGCTCCATTCACCGAGAATTCGAATACGCTCAAACACGACGCATGCACCCGAAGAATTAGAAAGAAACACTCACCGATCTTGAAGCGCGGCCAGAGCGGTGGACGCATCGTAGTTCGACTTGTTGAGAAAGGTCTGGACGTCGTGCACGAAAGGCGCAGCCGGGATGCCCCGCCTCTCCGAAGCGGAAGTCACCTCGGCCATGAGAAATCGCGGCCTCCCCCTATCTCTCGGCCACCGACGGATCGCCAACAAATCGCTCGAACACCGACCTCGTGCAAGAAAGAATGGCAGCTCCCTCGACGTCCCGCGCAATTGTGCAAGTCTGCAAATGCCGAGCGCTGGCGGGCGACCATCGTCGTCGGAGCGGGACGTTTCCACGTCTGCTCTTTACGAGAACTCCTCCTCCTCCCTACAAGAACTCAACTTCCAGTTCGAAGGCCGAAGCCCGAGACTCGAACTCCTTCGTTATCGCGGTCTGGTTTGAACCCCAAGTTCCATCACGGGCTCTGGCTAACCACAGTTCGTCGATTCGTGGGGGCCGCGACTGTCGTGCAGGTTCCGTCATTTCGTTTTTCTCTCTATCGAAGTTCTCGTCCATCTACTTCGAGGCCATGCTTTCTCCATTTCCCTCTCGACACTTCGTCGTCCGCTTGATTTCCAAGGCTTCGAATCCGAGACGTTTGGTTTGGAGGACAGTCTGACGTAGGTGTTATTACACATGGGTGAGCTGGGCTTAGGTCAGCCGAGTTGCTAGGTATGGCTTTTAGAACGTAGATCCAGAGAGAACTGGTTGTAAACTGGCAGGATCCTGAAATCCCAACACGAACTTCTTTCCTGACCGGACCTGAATATCCTGAGAAAAATTGGATTGAATTTTTGCAGTTTACAAAGCTAATTTCAAAAGCCAAAGAAAAGAAGATAACTGGCGTGTATAAGGGTGCAATCATTCATCGGAATTTCCTCTCCGTGCAATCCTGGAGACCTCTCTTTCTTGACCGTGTGACCGTACATACTTACCTTGAGTACCGTACATTCTTAGCATTCCCCCTCTCTTTCGAGAACAAGGCACAGTGAAGCAGTCATCACACCCGTGGCCGTCTCCGGCTTTTCCTGGAGTGACTGCTAATACTTCAAAAGTCCTTCTCAGTTTCAGGACTTTCAATACGTTCATCATGTTTACAACTTGTGGTTCCGTTTCTTAACCATGTGATAGTGTTGTCGAGTTGTGTCCCTGTGAAGAGCATTTAGGTTGCGTAATTGCAACAACTGTACTCACTAGTATGTGGCTATCGTACCCTGAAGATTACAGATTCCGCCCTTTGATTGACTCATATCAATACTACAAAGAAAGGGGAAGCTGCTACACCTGGTTACAACCAGTGTTGTCAACCAGTGCTTAGAGATTCCTGGCCCATGGCCTTTTTGTTCAAACGCTAGTAGACATCGCACTTATAAACATCACAAGCAAGCGTTGGGACAGCACAAATGCACATTTCCACAGCGTGATGTAGCAATCTTTCCACATACATGACGTTCAGAGTTGGGTCCAAAGTTATCACAGCTCCAAGTGAGACTAAGGTCGCGGTGCGATCTTATCACTGGTAACTTTTGACCGTGGTTGATAGTCTCCACAATATCGCAAGGTAATTGAAAGAAGGAATTGGTATCAAGACAATACTTCCAGTATAAATCGATCATATCAGGCGTAGCTTACTGGAGAATAAGCATGAGGGAATCTCGTTTCGTTATTTCCTGTCAGTTAGACGTGCACAACTGCACAGATAATAAGCGCAAGGGACAAATTGTTGAACCTGACAAGCGCGATTCTCTGACTACCAAACACAGCTCGGGATTTCCACATCTGTCTGTATCTAAGACTTCAACAGTTCAAAATGGATGAATACGCCTAGTCCTAGCACTCCCAAGTCTACATTATATACAGTTGGGTTAAATGTGCTAATTTCTGTACATGGAGCCTGTGAACTAGCTCTTCAACTCAAGGCTTTCTTAATGCTGATGCTGCACCCACAACAATGGCCACAAACACTCCCAAACCTGCTCCAAATGCTGCTCCCACCGCAGCTGCTGCCGCTGGTCCCGATTTCTGCCCACCAAGTTTTGCATTTTCTCTCGCCGCTTGCACAAGTTCTTCCGCTGTCTGCAGAGCAAGCTGTTCCTTCGCAAGTTCCTTCACAGAACCAAGAATCGATCGATCATAAAAAAAATCAGTAAATTGAGTGCTTGACAAGATGAAAACTTGTGTCAAATTACAAGATCTCCAAAGTTGCAAAATTACAAGACTACTGTTCTGGTCTATGACATTAGTCTCTACTTGGATCTTCAGGGCACATATGATAAATCTGTCCTCATATACTAAACAGGAGAATTTGAACAAAGGACCTTAACTACAATGTAAGTGGTACTTTAAGTATGAAGGTTTGATGTCCATGCTGAACTGAAGTCAACAAAGGGACTGAACGAATACAGCACATGTATGTACTGGAACTTCAACTTTAACAGGGCTTTTATAGGATACTCATATACCTCAGAAGCTGCCTCTTCTTTGGTTGACAGCACTTCGTGCACAAGGGACGTCAGTTTCTTGACGCCCTCTGAAGGTAACACCACCTCCCGTTTACGAAAAGGCCTAGGAACAAGGTTCATGGGTCCTGACAAGAGCCGCTGTGCAGCACTCTGAACCTTCGGTTGAACTGGTCCTTTCAAGGCCGCTTCTTCTGCAGAGATGAGAGACTCAAGAGTTTCGCTTGCAACACCATGCACAGTATGAGGACAAGAGTTGACCACCACTGAATGCTTTGAGGGGATGTGATAGGTGTTCATGACCGTTCGAGCAGCAACGAATCGACGATCAGCGCTAACAGCGAACTTGTTCGTAATAGCTAGCACAAGTGGTATTCCAGCGGCATGGACCTCGTCCAAAAGTAGAGAGAGGGCTGGTCGTGGTGTTGTTGCTTCACCGACATGGTGCAATTGAGGAATTTTATGACCAAGATTATGCACAAGAATAACAAGATCTAGCTTCTTTCCAAACTGCCCTACGCTGACTGACAACTCCCGCCTCAAAGTTTCCGCTTCATTGGACAGATCCTGCATGAGCCACACGGCCAGATCAGGCGATCTTCCATCTAAGCAGCACTGCCCCGACGTAGCCAGAGTAAAAATATCTGGATATATACATAAGAGTGAACCACGTAATGTACAAAGTTCCGGCGCAGCTTATGTATCCTCCTTCAGTCCACTTCAACTTAAAATCGATTCTTCCTCGCAAACGTATAAATGAGTTCCTTCTGGGTTAAGCCGTATGTTGCATACAAGTCGTTACTCGTGACGTAGGAATAAGTTGAAGCACATCAAACCTCCGTTAGGTGAAGGAGGACGCTATGTAACTTTCCGTACCATATTATAGCTTGAAATTTTAAAAATTTTGCTTCTACTTTTTTTTAAATCGTAGAAGTGGAAACAACATACTTGCAAGTTCACTCCAGCCGCATCGACATAGCTGATACCACCAGCGACTCCTTCTCGCCAGTCCATGTCGGGAAGCACACCACCATCGCTACTACTCAAGGTTCTGCCCTCATCTCCAAGCAAGGCACAGTACAAAGAAGTCTTCCCAGCACCCTGAACGAAACATAGCGGGTTATGGTTGCGTAATACGACAGTATAACTACATATTTTGCACAAAGGTAAAAAGCACACGAACATAGACACTAAATATCAGAAAGCATTCATGTAGCCATATGACGACAACTCAACCAGAGATCCGACCTTCAGAGTGAGAACAAAGACAATATGAGAAAAAAAGGCATGGAACTAACCTCTAAGCCTAAAAGTCGAACGCGTCTCATTCTTGCGATGACGTCATGAGTAGCAGACATGAAGTCTGTGCTGCAGTAAAGGGTTACTTCCCCGAATCCTTGAACTTCGTTGCCACTATATTCCTTTCTCCCCATGTTCAGAATGTCCAGCGTGTTTGGGAAACTTTCAAGTTTGTTGAAAACAGTAGAGCCCTCAACAGCATCAGTTTCAATTGGAAGACTCGACTTCCGCGGAGCCTTATCGACTGGGGGTCCTATACGTACGCGCATTTTCTGCAACTTGGGCTGAACTTGTTGGAGATCTTGCTTGCTATATGGTGAAGTCGGCTTGGACTCTACAGTTGCAGAGCACCTGAGGGACCAATGTTGGAGCTTGCAATGGTCAATGAATTGTGTGATGAGCTCAAACCATTATATTTCGACAGCTCTTAATAGCCTCTGATTTAAGACTCACACCTTGAGGTCTCCGGCAACGTAAGTGCATACGAGGTTCATAAATTTCAAGATTCTAGCAATGCACGAATTTGAGAACGAAAAACAACCGCCTCCATAGGGAGGAACTTGCTGCGTAACCAACACAGTTCCCGATCGGATGGCCCACAAACTGAAAGCTGATGACAGAAGTCACAAATCTGGAATTTCCGCCTGCTATTTCACAGCCTTGTAGCCCACATACGTTCACTACGTAATTCATCAGATCCATGTACCAAACAGGTGTTAGCCCAGTTCCTCAATTTCACATCAGAATTGAACATGGAAGGTGTTCAATCGGTCAGGATCTTACCAGCGTCCATTGACCTGAGCACGCACATGAGAGCAGTGATGCAAGTTGAAACCCTGCACATCGATAATTAAGGGATTGGACCCCTTGTCTCCCGGAAGTCCCGTCCAACCTAGTGGTACTAAAGCTGTAGCTGTTCTCAAGATGATGGGTTCATATATACTCCCTAACTCAGCAACACGTGCACCTAGAACGCCGAACCACTGCTGGAAGTTTGGCAGATGTAAAAGATGGTCCATTCCTACACTTGATGAGTAGTCCTTCATGCAAGAATCGTATATTCTGTATGCAGAATCCAAGGACACAAACCAGTAATAAGTGTTGATTGACCTAAACACGGAACAAGTTACAATCTTTAAGACCGGGGTGGGGGGCTCATAAGGACAAAAGGCAGGCCCATAAACGATTGAAGATAACAACAAAGACAAAACAAACGACAAAGATATTGCAGGTGGGACTGTCGAGCTGCAAACCTCTGAAATCGCTGTCGATAGGATCTCATGGTGTGGGACTGAAAGCGGTCTAACAACTCTTGAACAACTGTTTGCACCTGCAGAAAAGAAACCGAATAATGAGAACTAGGAAGGAGGGATGAGAGAGCAGAGCCATCGTGTACGAGGAGGCAAATGCTGAAGTATGGATAAAGAAGTCACGTTCAAATGCCCAGGGTCAACCAGAACCCAACAATATGACTTGAAACATGTACTCGAAGAATCCTGTAGTTTTTCAGTCAACTAAACCAGCCGACTTTGGTCAACCAGCAGTTCATACTCCCAAGTTCGCTGGACGAGGGCCTTTGAAACGTACCGAAGTCAACTGCGTGAACTCTGATGCAGACAATTGCTCCACTGACCCACTGTCCAGAATGAATAACTGCAACAACACACTTACGTCAGAAACTGAACGAGGAGGAACCATATTCCCCACACTCAAACAGCAGAATAACATGACTTAAGAGTAAGAGAAGCTTTTGGTGTCCATCATAGACGATATGAATAGTATCTGTCCAATTTCTCTTGATATTAAAGAAAAGACATTTGACACGTGACCCCCTGACATCAAAGCAAGAATTACGAGTCACTCCTTCACCAAGAAAGATGATCGCAAACTGATTACTGACCTCACCAAATGGTACATATGACGGTAACGGTGGTACCCTTGTAGTCAGCCAACTGGCAGGATTGCCACCTTTGCCGTCTTTTGTCGAGGATACAACAATCGCCTTTTCCGTTCCCACAGGAAGTTCAACCTTAGTTTCAGATTCAGATGTTACCACGGTCAAAGCACCTCCGTCTGGTTCTTCTTCAATATCCACGGGCGTGACCTCTGTATTTGAGTCCGAAGATGACTCTTGGCCTCCGAAGACTTTCTCTTGTTCCTGTGCCCCTTTGAGCCACCTAAAACGCCTCGGTGTGCCCACGATAGGAGCAAGTCTAGGCAACCGCCACATGTACTTGGAAAAAGGTCCTAGCCCTAAAACCATGCGGTCACTATCCACAGCGTTTCCATTTTCTGAGTGAGCAGCGGTTCGATTCTCTTCTTCCATCAGTGGAACTTCTGCTACTACGTCAACCGGAGAACGGTAATGCTGAAAATAGCCGGGTGACAAAAGACGGGGAACCAAATCTTCTGGTATACAGTAACTTCGAAAATGTTGTTGCCAGCCTTTTCGATGAACATAACTGAACACTCGAACAGGAGGACGATCGTAGTTAAAACCTAGGCAATGGCAACATTGCAAAAGTTCTCATCTGAAGATCTGAAAGCAAGTGCAAATTCAGCAACAAGGCAGCATGTCCTTCGTGCTCGTAGAGTTACAAATCAGACAATATACTATAGCTCGTTGTATGAGGTCCGTACTTGCATAGTAGACCGCTGAGAGAGAAGCTTTCATAAGAATAGAAGCATGAAGACGAGAAAATACTCACTCTCGAAGCCCAGGATTTCCAACCGGAGGCTGTGAAAATGTTATACACTTGATCTGTAGCTTCCCGCCTGCTTTCATGACCGATGGCGTGGCAAATGCCTTGAGTATCGCAAGCGTTGCCAATACAGCAACCTGTATACCATATACTGTACATTAGTCATTTGCCGTGAATAAGTCTCCATGCTCAGAGATGAACAGAAGAAGCGAAATCCACATAAAAGCTTACCGCTCCGCCCAGCGAGTGCCCACATAGTACTAGCTTGTAGTTTTTCTTTTGAGCAAGCCGGTATATATCCTCCGCTGGTATACCTCTCGCACGGGCGTAAAACCCCTGCAACAGGCACGTAAGGATGTCAGATGTCGCTACTAACAAGGACAAAGGGAGGTAAAACTGAAAGCTTCAAATAAAATGAAACAATTTAAAACAACTTCTTCTCCTCATTTGGATTCAGGGGGAGAGAAAGAAACGAACTCGATGAACGGAAGGTTTGCGGCCACCCGGTTTCCCCTTCACTGTCGATACGCTTGACAAATCTTTGCTACCTCCTGATGGCTTCAGGTTTCCTTGACCTAAAACCTTGCCGTCGCTCCCGTCGAGCTCTTCTTGGGTGTTGTCTATTACATCGTCTTCATGGAAAAGAGCTTCTTGTAGAATGTTTGCATCTGTTAGGTAGTCCCTGATGCACATGGATTGATTATTGCTCCCAATGGCCTACAGTTCAAGTAATCTTTCTGATGTTGATTCCAACAATGACTACATTGAACACGGCTCACAACTGGCAAGGAAATTTCCCTTAGGTCATACTTTGCGATAACGGTAAGAAACAAGTGGTTCGATCACATTGATGACAGCATGGATAATGACAGATAAAGACAGTACTCACTTGATATGCTTGGTACCAGAGAAAGCTGCGAACAGCGTGTCTCCACCCTCTGCTAATAAATATCTGAAAAAGTACGTTGCCATAAATATATTGGCGAAACTCTGAAATATGAGTGTATATATACAGCTGACTCACAAAAATACTCACCAAAGGTTATAATTGCTTCTCCATGCACCCAAAAAAAATTCATAGATCCGCTGATTCACGTCAGACAAACTCCTGACGACTGGATTCTGGTATGAGAGGGCGAATGAAAAGTAGCGTAAATTACCACTACATTCATGAACACCCAAGATACCCATGCCCGAACAGATGCCAAAGATACTCCGCACATCCAAGCGACATGACAAGCTGGACTACAGTACAAGGCATTTCTTTCCTCCACGATCAGTATGCAGGTTACGAAGCGACCCTTGTTGACTAAATGGACTTAAAACCCATTTCAGTTCAGTCCTTTCGTAACAAAGAAGAATATTTTCAGGAACAGCTGAGTATGACTACCTATGTGAAACGTGTTCCAAAGACGGCTGAATGCGCTGCAAGGACACCAGTTGCCCTCCGAAGTCGGATTTGTATATATTCACATGTCGTACCACCTCCGAATCAGGTCTCTACAAGATTCACAATTTTCAACTTTAGAACCTTCAAGCACGCGCCGATTCATTGCCAGACAGAGACTGTAGGTTTGTTATTCAAACACATCTGTTTCAAGAAGGGCAGTCCGAGATGTACGATGAGATCCTTCAGAAATAACAAGGTGATGCATAACGTCGAAAAAAGTAACCAAAATCGTGAAAATTAAAGAGTACTTCACAGCAAAGATTTTCAACAAACGGAATGAGTTGAAATCTGGGGTCTGAAGCTTCTGCAAGTTGAATGACCTGGGGGGTTGTCTATGTGCAAACTTCGAGCAAAAAGGCACGTGAAGCAATTACGAAAACAAATAGCTTGCAACACAAACTGATTTGGTCAGAGGCGGAAGACAGTAGAACCAAAAGGAGGCAGCTAACGATTTCAACAGTTGAATATCGTGGGAACAACGTAGAAAAGTTAACATTTTGTACTCATTTAATTAACGGGGGGCTCTGACTACTTGAAAGATTGCCGAAAAGAAATCAAATCTAACATCCCATGCCTGTAAACCTCAGTGCGGTATAGAAAGGTTCGACTCAAAGCCATTTACTCGAACCAATTTCTACTGACGCCATTGAGCTAGCGGGTATCCTCGATCACCTGAAGTACTACAACCTAATTCTTTGTGCAAATGGGTCACGGGCGGGTAGGAATAATCAAGACGGATGTTGTCCACATCCAGATACAAGGAATCCAAAAATCATACCAAGCTCAGAAAATCGGAAACTTCGAACCAGCAGCAGAAAAACACCCCACGCCCATTTCTGCATGATGGCAGCTACATATTACTTTCATGAAATGGATTCTTCAATTTTCCATGTTAAAGGGCGACTCTCTCGGATTCCTATCTCTTTCAAATTGTGTGTCTATAGTGTCCTCCCTGAGAAAATCGTGATTTACATTTGGTAAAAGAATGACCGGGAAAACTGCTCAACTTCCAAAAATTGCCGTGCCTGACAGAAGTTACGAGCCGAGCGAGAGAAACGGACCTTGTAAACACATTCGGCAAGAACCATGGCGCCTAACACATCTTGCAACTCCGCTAAATTTTCGACCTTCAAAGCAGCGCACAAACCTTCAATTTGCTCCTTCCGCCTCCTGTACTCTTCCTGCAGCTCCTGCTTCCTTCTCTTATCCTCATGCCACGGCAGCTTCAACTGCCAATGCCATGGAGGCCACCCCGTCATCTGGGGAGGAACACTCAACGCAGCGCGCTGCTGCTGCGCCCACGAATCGACCTGCTGCCGCATGGACGTCATCCACTCGGGGATTTGCATCCTCAATCCAAACAACTGTACCTCGCTATCGAGAAACAACAACAACAACACCACCACTCGTCCCGTATCGTCGTCCGAACTCCTTTCTTGATGCTTCGAAAAGTGCCGTGGCTCGTCGAACCCAAAGCTCCGCAGCGAGGCGCTTGCTCCTTCATCCAACAGCCATTCAGCAGACTCTGCATTACAAGTGTCGCACCAGAACGAGGGCTCCGGGCCTCGAAGATAGAGGCGAGGCGAAAGGCAGCTGGAGGAGGCGAACGAGCATCAGCATCGTCGTCCTCGACGCAAAAGACAGAAAGCCCCACGAGGGCGACAGAGGCCATCCCAGCCAACCCAAGCCCGCCCGCCCGCCTCCCCGCCCGGGCTGGGCTGGGCTGGGCTGTCTTTGGCGGCCCCGGCCAAAGTTGGCCGTGACGTCATCATTGGATGGAGGCGCCTTCAAATTTAGCTCTTCCCACGTAAGCTGGCCCGAAGACCGATCGAGCCCCGCATGCGTGCGATCCACTCCGGAACCCAGGTTCCAGGATCAGGCTCGGGCTCGGTTCGGGTTCGTCCGCACCCTCGGGACGACGACGACGACGACCCTCCATCAGCTCGTCCGAAGGTTTCGCGTGCACGGAAACTAAACCCTCTCCTCACTCTCCCTCCCTCTCTCCCGGGACCATATAAGAGGTCCGATCATTAACTCGGAGGTTACCGGTCATTGGGGATTCCGGTGCTGCAGTCTTTAATTTAATAGCAAGCGAGATACGCTACTAGTGCGATTCTCAGTGTAAAAATGATTAAATTGTAACCTATCGAACTAGTAAACATTTACAAAAACCAAAGAGAACGATGTGTAAATCCTGAAAAAAATCAATTTTTATTAGCCCGAAAATTATTTTCAATAAAAATTTTGCTTTTTCCACCCGTGTTCTTTATTGATTAATATAATTGAATCAATTATAATTTTAATCATTCAAAAATATGGTTGAAATCAAATTTTCTAAGGTTTTTTTATTAACCCGAAATTTTCCTCGATAAAACTCGGGTTTTTTTCCACCCCTGCTCTCCCTTCCTTTCGCCGGGGACCATATAAGAGGTCCGATCATTAACTCGGCGGTCACCGGTAACCGGCGATGCGAGACAATCTCCAGGTCGAACTCGTGGTCTTCGTCCGCGATCGCCCGGTTTCGGTGGCGAGGTGCCGGTGGAAAGAGTTTCAACTCGCCTAGATGAGGTCCTAGAAGTGCGTACCTACGGAGGGAGCTGCGTCCCTCCCTCTGTCCGAAACCGGGAAGAGAGAAACGACGAGGGTCGTGATTTTTCGGGCGACACGGTCGAAGAAACATGTGAGCTCGGAAATCCCCTCCGAACGAAATGTCGTCGAGGATCCAGGCGGCGATGGCAGCCACGGGGAAGGGATCGGACAACTACGAGCGCAGCAGCAGCAGCAGTTGTGCGGAAAGCGCTGAGGACAAGGAGATTTGGCCGTGCGAGAAGACGAAGAGGAGGACGAGGAGCAGCAGCAGCAGCAGAAGTCGTGGGATGGGATGTTGTTGAGTGGCCAGGGCGTGGAGTGCATGGCTGGGCTCGAGCCTGCTTTCGTCGGATTAGGGCGGATTGCGATTGCGCTGGTGGGCCATTTCGATTCTCGCACATGCAGGGCCACCACGTAGTCTCGGGCTCGCTGCCTTGGGATGCTTGCTGGTCGATCCGTCCGGGGAGAAATTGAGGGAGCGAGCGACGACATAACGACCTTCGTGTACGTACCAGTTCTTCGGTAGAGCGTACTCCGCTGGGCCAAGGTCCATGGAAGCGCCAATGAGATCCATCCAAGGGGAGGGGAAGTGGGGAGAGAGAATTTGATTGAGGTTTTGCGGGAATGGGGTTGTGAGTTGAGTTCATTTGTGGGAGAGAGTGGGCGGAATTTGCTCCTCTCCGTTTTCTTGTTGCTCGCTAACCACTCCAGTCCTGCACCGATTTGAACAATGTTGGAGCATTGAATGCATCAAGCTGGAAGGCCAGGTGGCAGGAGATTGGTGGTGGTCCCGGTGGGGCTCATTTTGTCACAAACCCCCGCCCGGCCTGTCTCCCGATGCCCGTGCGCCCAAAACCCCACCCCACCTCCGAAGCCAGACGAGAGGGAGGGCAGGAATGAAGCTCGGCAGAGCTCGAGTTTAGCCGAATGTGGAAAGCTGTCGTCGTCCTCCTCTCCTCCTCCTCTTCTTCTTCGTCTTCGTAGTGCTCCGCTTCGTTCGCTTGTTTATTGGAGGGGTGCGAGTCTGGCAGAGGACGAAACGCAGGAATTTCTCTCTTCGTCGAATCCCAGCTCTGGGCTCTCCGCCCTCCCCGGACCCCATCTCGCCCTGTTACGGTCTCGGGTGTCCTTTTGCGCTGAGCTTTAACACAGGGCATCTGTTGTGCTCCCCCTCCAAGAGCATCGAACTCTTGCGCTTCCCTGCTACCTTCCTTCCTGCCCTCCCTCCCTCGCATTCACTTCTATTTCAGCCCGAGGTTGCACTGGAGGCAGACGTGGTGAGCTCTCGTCTTTCGTCCGACCGCTCGTCGGTCTGGTCTTGGAGTGTGGACAGTGCAATCCAGCGACGAGGCGAGGCTGTGATTCTTGCTCGAGTGGAGGCGGGCAGGCAGGATTGGAGGGTCAGCTCCGCTACCTCATCAGTCCAAGATGGATGATGACGACGATGATGCCCACCTGCCTTACCACAACGCGCATCACCACTTGTATGAGACGACGGACCCGCATCACGGCGCCAATGTGCAGGAGAATGACGATGATGGCGAGGAGGAGGATGAGGAGGAAGAGGAGGACGAGGAGGAGGACGAAGACGACGAAGACGAGGATGAGAATATAGACGACGATGAAGATGAGGATGAAGGTGATCAAGAACACCAGGAGTATGAGCAAGATTTTGAATTAGAGCACAGCCACAAACGCAGTGTCGTGGCAAAAGCCACCGGAAATGGAAATTTACGCAGCAATGCAACCTCGGCGCCCGCCCTGGCACTCTACCAGCCTGAAATTGCTTGCCCCTCGGGAAGAATTGAAGGTGGAGGAGGAGGAGTTGCCGGTGCTGGTCCCGGTACTGGTCCTGCTGGCTCCGCTGCTGCTGCTGCTGCTGCTGTAGGCGGAGACAAGTACAGTGGAAGGGATGATTGGACCGAGGGAGCAACACATGCGCTGCTGGAGGCTTGGGGCGATCGATATGTGCAACTGAACAAGGGAAACCTGAAGCAGGAGGATTGGGAGGAGGTCGCGGAGGTGGTGAGTTCCATGAGCAAGTCCCATAAGACGGACGTGCAGTGTAAGAACAGGCTGGATACCCTGAAGAAGAAGTATAAGGTCGAGAAACACAAGCAGTCTGCGATTGGGAGCCTGGACAGCAAATGGCCTTTCTACAAACGCCTTGATCAGCTGCTCAGCGCCACAGTCAAGCGAGCGGGAATTCCCGGCGGTGTGGATGCTGGCGTGCCTGTGAAATCGTCCTTGGACAGGGAGGATACAAACCGCCGCTCCGGTCGGAAGCACGAAGATGAAAATTTCAACAACACTTCGACGAGTTCCAAGTCCAAGGAGAGCGCCGAGATGACATTCAGCTCTCCCCTCGATGACGCTGATGCTCCTGGCACGGACGGTACCCAGAGCAGTCGGAAACGCAAGGCCATGGACACGCCTTTCAAGACGCTGGCCAAGGCAATCACCCGGTTCGGCGAGATTTACGAGAAAATGGAATACTCCAAACAACAGCAACTCATGGACCTGGAAAAGATCCGGATGGAGTTCACGAGGGATCTGGAGTTGCAAAGAATGCAGCTATTCATGCAGACGCAGGTTGAGCTTGCCAAAATGAAGCATGGTTCCAGTGAAATTGACCCAACCGTCAGTAGTAACTTGAGTCAATGAGGTGAGTATGCGTCTCACGACTTAGACCACGAGATTCTAGCCCGAATTTTGTGACTCCTTTCGGTCATGGGTACATAGCCCTGCTTGTACAAGCACTAGAAGCATCCATCCTTATGTTTGTATAGTTATGGGATTCACAAAGACTTCGCAGCGCCGTCAATGTTGCTTACCACGTGTTCTGTGAAGAGATCTGCATCGTGGACATACCATTTTAACTACAGCATGTACTCTCCAACTCGTAGAATTTCTTCATTCTGTCGGTTCTTCACCAATGTCTGTTGTTCCGCTGTAGCTTTGCTGACGTTTGCTTTGCCTCTCAGATTATGGAACTGTGCAATTCCAACTCCCGCACGAGCCCTGTCGACATTTACGGCGGCTATGGCCCACACTTTTGAGCGAGGCGATCACATGTGCTGAGGGTTTGAGAAGGAAGTTCCTTTGTATAATATGCTGATACATCCAACTACGCCAGGTAGCATCGGTGTGCAAGTCCTATGGCACTTCTCGGTCATTTCCGTAGAGCTTCCCGACCAGCATTGAATATGGTGGTGGCTCCTAGTGTCAGAACAAAGGATGACCTTCAACGTCGAAGGTCTTCTGCATCAGGCGTTGCTGAACTGGTCTCTATAAAGTTTTAATCCACAAAATCAGCACTTGAGCCTGTGTGTACGATGCTCTAACCTTGGACACCGAGACGGGAACGCGTTTCCAGTTTCCTACGTCTAGTGTTCAATGGCAGGCATATGAATGCCACGTGATGCCACCGCCCGGAAACATATTGTCTTATGGAAAGGTCTGGAGGACTCGTTTCTCGGGATCTAACTTGCTGGAAATTATGTGATTAGAAACGTACCGTCAGCTCATCCTAGATGATCTTTACCTACGTCTGTCACCCGTGTAGAGATGTCTTTCTACAGAGATGTAGCAAGATGTACTCTCAATTTGGACTCTTTTCGAGTGGAGTAACTGTCTTGTGTCTGGCACACTATTCCCAGCTCAGCCCAAATATCATGGCATGCGGGACACAATCTGCCATGGACTCGCAGGATGATGTTGCCTATTCAGAAGAAGTGCACGTAGAGTCCTTTAATGCCTAATTTTTCTCAGAAGGCATAGGACTTATCTCATAGTCTTTCATATCTCGGTCTCTATCATTGTGAACACAATTTCCCGGATAATCATATGTCTCTGTTGAAGCTGAACGAGCAACCTCGTAATATCTCTGTACTTGTTTCCAGATTCAAGGGTCTGAGTTCACTTCGTCGTATGTTGGACCATCTATCGATGCAGCCACTGTGAGACTGGGATTTCATTATCGAAGCGTGGTCCAAGGTCTATGGTGGGAGTCATCTTTCAAGGAAAATTGCATCGTATGACAAACCTTAGACTCTCCGCCTGCCTCTGCATGTGCTTGCGAACTTTCGCTTTTCAGGTTTAGTGGGCGTTACAGATCAACGAACATCCGCTTTCTCATGGAAATTGCGCATCGGATCCGGAGCAGGTACCAGGCATGTGAATAATGCCTGGAGACGAGTGATTTCTCACGGCTGACCTGGTTGATTTCCAAGGTTGACGGGCAGCAAGATTGCCCAAGGCGGTGCAGCGACGGTCGGTCTTATGTTATCCCGTGGGATCAGCGAATCCCTGCTGCAACCCAATGCAATCATCTCTCCCTCGCGCTGACGGTTTCTATCTCGGTCACAAGCTAAAAGTCAATCAAAGTCAAAGCAAGCAGCATCAGGGAGGATAGTCCTGGATCGCTCGTACTGCACCAGTCTCAAGCCCCTCTAAATCCTCGACTATTATAGAGGAGTACGACCTCATCGAGCTTTCCGCTGAGTCCTGTTCAGTGGATCGCGCTTTTACCGACATATCCATCAAAGTGAGTGTCCACGCCTTGTCACAAACGCCTGTCGGATTTTGGCAGTTGACGTTGGTTGGTCCCCGAATGAATGAATATCTCTCTCGAGCACTCTTCGCTCGAATCTTAGAAAGCCGACCTCGACCTGCCCTTCCCACCTCGACACTCCGTCATCTGTATTCGCGTGTATTGTACACCAGATGGACGCGACTTTCGAGATGTCCCACATGTGTCCGGAAATATGACCTTCTTCTTCCTGAAGGGCCCCTTATCGCTCGAGTTTACTCCAGGGGGTGACATCGTCAGGTTTTTTGCACTCAGGATTATAAAGGTTTTCCTGGAATACCCGTAATTATTTTTTGGTATGAAATCGGGGTTTTCTTCTGAACCTGGGATACCAAATTGTTCTGGTGTTGACCGAGAAGAGTCTGATGTAGGTTCATGTCCTAGTTTGAACAAGGCAGCTAATAATGGAGATGAATGTCAATCTCCAAGGAAAAGGGACGTAGCTTCTTGGCTGTCTCCTCTGTATGCAAACAATTCTTAACATCGCTCCGAACATAAAACTCGTGTAAATTCCCATTGCAAACCCTTTGAACAGTCTAGCACAGTTGCTTAAAACCATTCTCGAAATCAGGTTTTTTAAGTCTTTTTAATTAACAAAACGAATTTTTTTCGATAAAAATCGGGATTTTTCACCCCTGGTTTACTCAATTGTATGTGAAAATATTCTCGAGGAAGCTCAGAAACATCGAGGAATTTTTAGTCCCGCGATGCCGAAGGAACCTTAAGTTTTCGACGGATGAGCAATAATGCTGTTCGTATTGACACTGGCCTTCGCCCATTGCTGCGACGAGAACGTTCACCCCTTCGTTACTTCGAGGTATTCATACGCAGTGTCGTCAGTCGGCGGGAGCGAATGCACTGAGAGTCAATGAATTAGCAAGTAATGGTTTGTTTCGATTTAATCTTTTGTGCATAGTATTCTTGTATAGACAGAGTATTATTGGTGTTATACACACTAATAATATTCAGACTAGATGTGAATTTCATTTATAAAACATATGACTAATTATAGATGATATCTAGTTGTCACATCAGATGATATAATATTAAATATTTTTATTTTTATGAAAAATTTGAAATGAATAAAGTGAATTTTGTTAAATAACTAGTTCCTTGCTGTGTAATTGATGTACCATTTTATATCTTTATTTATAAATTACTTCATTTAAATATTTCTAACATTTCAAAACATATATTTCAATATCATATTAACTACATAATTGCATATTTTAATATGTAGTATATCATTTATATAAAACATTTATTTTTATAGGTCTAATGATTTGATGGATTCCTCGGAAATCAAAATAACTATTATGTGAAGGTGGGGTTTGAAGAAGTGGTCACACGGCACGTCTTCAGAGTACCAAGTACGCCTTCACTTCCCGAGCATTTGAGAATCTCATTTTCCTCATTTCATAGAGATCGATCGCAGAATCATGAGACCTGCTTATGTCGGATTCAGCTCGGACCCACCTCCGCAATCTGATGAGGAAGTTTGAGCGTCAAAAGTTGCCACCTTCATTTTGAAATTACCACTGGGAACCAGTCTCAAAGGTTGGTAGGGTCTAACTGTTCTTACGAACACCAACTAAGTATGATTTCATGATATTCAACCCCAACCAACTATGCCAACCAGTCTCGTGTAGGTGTCATCATTAACTCTAAGTTATTGCTTGATATACCTGACTTAATCTTTTTATACTATTTCATTAATTGCTAGCCAAGCCAATGATTTAGATTATACAGGTAAACTTGTTCCTCTAGTTTGTTTGTTAGAATATTGTATTTTATTTTACTTTACTATGGTACTTTTTAGCCTCGCCAATGATAATAATAGTTTTACGATGGGTATCAACTTCGCAGGGTTTCATGGCATTTGCCCATCTTTTCCCATCAACTATCGTCTAACAAACTCCAACTAACGAAAGTACGAGAAAGCCAATGTTTCCTGCCTGCAATTTTCTGAAGGTAACACGATGAAAGATCCCACGGCAGCTGCTTGATTCAGAGAAGAGTGATTTGCATTAGGCTCGTTGTGTTCAGCTCTTTGGCCTGAACCAGAGCCAGATATTCTATTGTGGAAACTATACTGGACTCTTTGATCATCTTCCTCTCGCTTAGAAATTTTAAATGTCGAAGTGCATGTGGAGTGTGAAGTTCTTTCACACTTCCAAAAAAGGATAGTATTACTGGATCGTCCACTAGATCTAGTATTGAAGCTAATCTCCCCACTTCTGCTGTGTTCCAGGAATATGTTATTGATTTAATGATTGACAAACGATCTTCTGCTGGAAATAATTTATCAACAGAGAGATTGAGTGGAATAGCAGCGACTCAAATACTTCGGGTATCCCCTCGTTCCTCCAGGAGCCTTCAGACTGGGAAACATCGATTTTTGCTTATTCTTGTAACAAAGTCGATCACTCACGACCTTCATGATGGGAAACTTGAGTGACGAACAGACCCTTGTATACACAATGCCATTCGCATGCCCTCGTGCCTGCAGAGGTGACATGATTTTATATTCCCAAGGACGACGTCACGAGCAGTAATGCGTACGAAAGGTCGCATGCTTCGTGGAGGATGTCACCGAGATCCTTTCTCTGGCAGAATCTGGTGAGGCATGTCGGAAGACAAAGGCGGTGATTTTATTGAAGACTTGCATCGAACGTTTGTTCGTTCAACTCCAGAACATAGTGAAAGTTGATGATTAACTGCGAGATTTCAAACAAACTGAAGAACTTAGAGTAGAAAGGTGGACCGTATTTGAATACTCGTAATCCTAAATTGTTCATTTATGTGTAGTATTATACACACCTTCCGGACATTGATTGTTCTTGTTCCTTCCTCCATTAGAGCAACGTGAAGACTTGTGGGAGAATCACCATTGCATACATGGAGCTCAAGTTAGCATACTTCAGAATGGAAGCAACAAATCGAAACATGCCAATTCTCAACATTTAGATAACTGCGTCACTATACTTGTAAATGTGAGTTTGCAATGGTAAATGGTAAATAGATCAAGCTATTGGGACCCAAAGAATCAAAACAAAACAAAGAATCCAACTTCAACCTAGAAGAGAACCCCATAACTAATGCCAATAGCACTAGAACGGTAACTAATAATTTCTCTAACGTAACAACCTAAATCATAAGGTTCAAACTGAAGCAAAGAATAGAAATTCAACAATTTTATGAGCCATTCTAATCTCTATATATCTAATATAAGTAAAAAACACATACTCTTCATCCTCAACATTTCTCTCATCACAAATCCGTTCACTCCTATCAACATTCAACCAACGTACTTTCTCAATTCCAAGTTTATGAAATCTTATTCTATGTCTGGTAATAATACGACATTAAGATGTAGAGAGCTGTGCAACAAGGTATTCTTACTCACAATAAATAAGCATAGGATTCACATGAAGTTGATATAACTTCATTTTGATGTCTCGTCTACTCCAAATAATGTTGAGAAATCATTCTTTAATACGCTCGCGATGTACCATAGGTTGTAGATCCCTATCAAGTTTTGTCACATTTCACCTCAAACACCAAGTCATCACATCTGCAAACCATACTTGAAACGTGTGGTATGCAAAGCATGAAGAGGAAATCGAGAAGCATCAAGAGATGTCATACTTTTAATATAAGTGATGGTCAAGTAGAGAGCTTCAGCCTCAAGAGGTAGACAACATGTTTCTGCAAGAAGAATAGCATAAGGAGTTTAGTTTCTTACACCTAATTCTTCTTGTAAGAACATTTTTTTTTACCCTCTTCACATCAGGGTTTGACATTCCTCCGAAATCCCCGGGAATAGGTACCTGAGTTTGGGGATAGGGAGTGAAATAGGGGAACAACCGGAGTAAACCGCCTGACTCCCTCTTGCTAAGAGGGGATTACATCCCGAGGTTTTTCAGGGTAGAACCCGGTACACCCTCTTTAAATGTCACTTTCTTGTATGAATTTTGGGAGCAAATAGTGGATTGAAGAGTTTAAAACAGTTTTGAGACCCTCCAAAATTCTTTCTAAACACATTTGGATGACCGCGAGAAATCAAGAATACTCAAGTCAAAACTTCGGGGCGTAGCCCAGACATTCTTTGGCACATTCCCGGGGTGACCCAGTGGTTTTAGGCCATGTCTGTCAAACCCTGCTCTTGCCCCATTCCGGGATCTCAAGAATCTTTCCGGTGGCACTTTTACCGCATTTCCGCTTTTCCCCACATCATCTCCTCCCGAGCTCCGACCTCCTCGACTTTCACTACTTGCAGCTAGCGTGCT